CCTGATTTATGTGGTTCTGGGGTGTTGAACCACATTACTAGGCAAGCACTTTGTAAACTAGGGTTTGTGAATGGTCTCTGACTCTCTGTAACATCCACAGTGGAGCAACAGGAGTATCTTCTGTTAGAATACTTGACCTTGGTTTCTGAAACCTTTTTGAAGTATAAGACAAAGATAAGCAGGCAAGTCCAGCTACATTTCAGCTTGACTTAGGGTGACCACAATACTGAAGGGCTCATTACCACAGGAACCAGCCACGTGTTGAACTTTTCAGTCCCACTTCCACTTGACCTCCACGGAGAGAAGAAGGACTGTAACTCAAGTGGATCACTGGTGACCAGTGGTATAATCACCCATGCCCACCTAAAGAAGCCTTCATAGAACCTCCACCCCAAGTATGAAGCTTAGGATTTTCTTGTCTGTGAACTAGAATACTACCATATGCCAAGGGAGTAGAGTACCTCAACTCCTTGAAAATAAGAGACTCTGGCTGGGGGACCCTTGTGAATCTTAGCATGCCTCTTATACTGGCCTTCCTCTGGCCATCATGTGTCCTTGAGTACATCAGTTGGTAAATGCACACTAATGGGTTTGCCTGAGTTCTGTGAGCCATCTAGCAAACTTTGAGTACAGGAGGGCATTGCAGAAGCTTCCAAATTGCAGGCAACCAGCTTGTCAGAAATAGAGATTGCAGCTTAGACATGTGGTTGATGCTGGAAGTGGGGGAGATTCCACAGATTCTCTGTTTTCCCAAAGTTCCTTGCATAGCCTTTAAAAATAAAATGTTGGCAAAATGAAGTTGCTTGCAGGAAAATGGATGCAACCAGGCTAACATAAGTGAGTCATTCTCAGAAAGGAAAATAATGAGTTTTCTCCTACTTTGGATCTTTTATAGCTACATAAACTTGTGTATTGAAGTGAGAAGTAGAGCTGTCTGGAGACAAATGCACTGATAGTTGGACATGTAGGCTATGCACCGAGAGCATTTGTATACTTGCATAAAAGTGGCTTTATGTAGTCCTGTACAACAATAATAAACTGTTAAATAAAAACTGTAATACTCATCATGGATTCCAGTAAGCCAAGCTAAAACCCAAACAGAGTCATGCATGATAAGATTTAAATGGACATGATGACACCAAATTGTTCATCAGACTTTTTAAGAAATCAGTGTTGAGAAGAAATTTCTGAATGGGGGCAAATTGATTTGAGTAATAGTAAGGTTCCCTCTATCTTAATTCTGCCACAAAAGAGATCACCCAAGGACTGGGATTTGACAAAAGACAGCACATCTGCTTGCCCTGCATAAGGCCATACGACTAATTGCTAACACAACAGCAAAAAGTACGAAATTCTCTAAATATAACTGGAAAATTGATAGTGTTTCAACTAATTCATTGAGAAGTTTATGTTCAAAAGCACTGCAGAACTGAACAAAAGTCTCAGAACCAAGCTGATACAAGGAGTCATGCCTTGCATTCAGGAGGCTGAGGCTAGAAGATTGTTATGAATTGGATGTGAGCCTGAGCTATAGGGTGAGTTCAGGTGATGAACATAGACTACAAAATGAGACCATAGCAAAAGCCTATCTAAGGTTTGGATGCATTTGGTCTCAGCACTCAGGCAACAGAGGCAGGTCGATTTGTGTGTGTGTGTAAGGTCAGCCTGGTCTTGTTAGTTCCAGGACAGTGAGGAATGCATAATGTGATGTCTCAAAAAAAAGTTCTAAGAACTGTCAGAATAAGCAAAATCTGGAACATAGAGATTGAAGTTTTTTTTTTTTAAAACCAAATCTCTAATGATGGACTGGATCATGTGCTATAAGGGATTCCTCAGGATTTCCCAGATGAAATTCAGTAGCTTGATAAATAAATGACTTGAAGGCTAGTATGACAGTAATAGGACACTTGCTTAGCATGTGTGAAGCCCTAGGTTCCATCACTTTGTCTGTCTGTCCATCTGTCCATCTGTCCATCTGTCCGTCCCGCACATATCAGAAAGCCAAGACTGACATTTTTAGACAGGGTCTCATTTTGTATCTCCTCTGACCTAAACTTTAAATCAGCTTCATAATGCTACAATTACAGGTGTGTGTTGCTACACTCAACCAGAAGTTCATCTTAAATGTTTGTGTTCACTGGTGTGTGTGTTCATTTAAATGTAGCTTCCTGGACCAGTAAGATGGGCCAGCAAGTAAAGATGCTTTCCACCAAACCTGATAACCTGAGTTCAATTCCCTATCCCCAGGACCCACATAATGAAGATAGCTACTCCCACAGGTTGATGTCTGACTTCCACCTGTGTGCAATCTCTCTCACTGTCTCTGTCTCTGTCTCTCTCTCTCTCACTCACACATACACACAAACACATAAATGTCATAAAATTTAATCTAGATTCCTATAAGCAAGAAAACACTTGTCATTTTCTTTCATTACTGTCTCTTGTCTTTCCCTCTCTTAAGTCCTCTTTGACGTTCATTGCTCTTTAATGTTTGAGAGCAACCTGACCTAAAAACAGACACTTGGGACATTAGCACTGTGAAATAACACCCACCTAACTCCCCACCCTGGAATGGAGAAGTCTAACTGCAATCAAAATTGCAAACCACTGGTGTAGCTAGGAATAGCATGGAGCTGGGGTGGGGGTCAGACTCCAACTATCCCTTTCCTAGATAGAAATTTCTCAGTGGTGCGATTGATTCCCAGTGGCCAATCTCAGGGCTTGGGTGGGAAGGCAACCACTTTTAAGAGCACTTTCCCACACCTGTAGCACTATGAGCCTAAGTAGATGCTGGCCTTAGAGAGATGAGCAACAGTCTGGCTACTCACTCTTGTGGGTGTCTCTAGTTCTCTCATCCATTTCTTTGAAGATTTGGACGTCTTGACAGCAAGAATTATGAGGTGTGGATTTGCACTCAAATTTCATTCTTTGAAACTGGGTCTTGTGTAGTCCAGGTTGGTCTTCAACTTGCCCTATAGCTAAGGATGTCTTTGAATTGACGCCTTGCCTCTAGAGTTCTGAGACTACAGGCTTGTACCTGTATCCAATTTACACAGTAGTTTGTGCATTCTAGGCAAGCACCAAACCACATCACCAACCCTCAGAACTTCTCTGTGCAAAGGTTGTAGTGGACTTGGAGGAGACATCCCCAATGACTCCTCCTAAGACTTACAGCAGCTTCTCATCTGCTGGAACCCAGGTCCATGATAAAGTTTGGTTCAGAGACTTAGAGAGGCAGGTGTGGTGTTGATCATAGTTAAAGTCTGGTGCCAGGGTCTTTCTGAGGGGATTTAGAGCAGAGATACACAAAACTGCAAACACCTGAGCCTACCAGGTGTCATGCCAAGCCATGGGTTGAGTCTGGAAAATGCTGTGGTTTTCTTCTGAAAAGAGGGCCCCTTCTTCCCTTCTCCCTTTTCCTCACCCCCTTTTTTGGGACAGGATCTTGCTGTAGATCAAGCTAGCATCAAAATTCAAGGTAATCCTCCTGACTTAACCTTTTTTAAAAAGATATTTTACTATTATTGTGTGAGTCTCTCCCTACCCCGTGTGTGTGTGTGTGTGTGTGTGTGTGTGTGTGTGTGTGTGTGTGTGTGTATGTGTGTGTGTGTGAACACAAGTGTGGAAGCAGAGGACAACTTTGGGGAGTGGGCTCTGGGGATCTACCATGTGGGCTCTGAGGCTCTTAACTCAGGGCATCAGGATGAGTGGCAAGTGCCTTTACATACTGAGCCATCTCACAGGTCCAACAACTTCTTAAGTCATGGTTTCAAGGCCTCTCTCCAAATATAGTCTTAGAAATTGGGGGAGGGGACACACACCTCAGTCCATAAGATATTGTCACCAGTTCCTCAGCACAGTTCTCTGGTCAAGTTGCATAAAAATACTAATGGCAAAAAAAAGTGGTTTTGTGTCTTTTGCATATAGCCCCCTTTAAAGGCTAATTGATCTTTTTTTAAAATGAAAAGTTGGACTAGCTGAGGGGATCCCACTGATAGTAGCTTTTGCTATAAGAGCTTCAAGCCAAGTTGCTGATTGAAGGCCTGTGCGCACAGGGTGGGGAAGTAGTCAGGTGGTAGAGTACTTATGTAATAGGCCAGAGCTGCGGTGCCTGCCTTCCCCAGAGCTTGCCCCATGCCGCCTTTGTCTGTGTTGCTTTTGCTTTGCAAGCTTTTATGAAACCACAGCAGCCAAACCTAATACCTGTCCAGTCCTGTGAGTAGAATAGTAGGATTGGTAGAGGTGGTTCCCAGGACCCAGCAGCAGTCACGGGGGACTTCTGGTGTGTTGGTAGTGCCTTCTTTTTCAGTCTGTATACTCTTTATACAGTATGTGTCCGGCTAGAGGAAACTCAACATGTGTAATTATAACCAGACCATTTTTCTATAAACACACCATATTTCAATGAAAAGTTTAAATAAGCCAAGAGTGGTGACATACTCCTGTAATATCAGCATATAGAGTCTAAAGCAGGACTGCTAAGTCCAAAGCCTATCTAGGCAGCTTAGAACATTTTTTATTATTAAATTATTAAAAAATAAGTTAATTAAAAATTTAAAGAGAGGGGATTGCTGGAAAGATGGCTCAGCAGACAGGGCACCTGCTATGAGTTAGAATCCCCAGAAGCCACTTCAAAGCCAGAAGAAGGTGTTAGATCCTCACAGAACAATGAGGCACAGGTGAACCACATGAGCACTGTGTGACTGAGAAGAAGAAACCAGGACCAAATCTGGTCAGGCTGACAATCTCTGCGTATCCAATTAGTTCTTGGTTTCCCAGGCTATCCCATGAGCATTCCATGCTCAAGTCCCAACCCTGCAAGTTTCTTGCTCACAAGATACAGGTTTTAAAAGGAGCTGCACCATTAGAGCACTCACATGATGCAGAGTGCTGGGTGGCTTCCATTTTAAATCCCCGTGGCCAATCAACAACGTGCAGGCATTTGAAAGATTCCTAGTGCCTTGTTTGAATTCGAGGGGGAGCAGAGCAAGTTTAGGAGCATGAAGACAGCAGCCAAAGCTGGAAAGCTGGCTCGAGCACCAGCTGACCTCTGGAAAGCCAGGGTCCAGGGAGATGCAGGTCCCAGTGCCCCAGTGGCCACCCCACTGTTGAAAAAGATTCCAGAGGTCTTAGTGGACAAAGGCAGCAGGTGCCTTTATGTAAGGGGACGCTTTCTGAGTAAAGTAGGCTTTGTCAAATGCTTTGAGATCTCAGACCAAAACACAAAGGGGGTGTTTGCAGCCAAGATCATGCCTAAGTCTTTGCTCACACCCTCCCAGAAGGAGAAGCTGTCCAAAGAGATTTCCATTCACCGCAGCCTCTCACATCAACATGTCCTAGGCTTCCACAGCGTTTTTGAGGACAGCGAATTTGTGTTTGTGATTTTGGAGCTTTGTCGGGAGAGGGTGTTTCTGCTGCGGGGCTGGGGTGTTCATACAGGGAATTTGCTGGCAAAGGGCTTCTGATGCCTTGTAGTAGCCTATAGGAGTGCTTGGGTTTCAGGACTCTGGGTAAGGGCACGCATTAACAAGAGAGGGTCCTGTGAATGATAATGACCAGTGTATGGGCAGAATCATCAGGAGTCTGCCAAGACCTCCCTTTAATCCCGAGAGCTTAGTCCTGGTCCCATCCAGCTGGCCACCCTTTTCAGTGGGCTTCAGTAACTTCTTCCTTCTTCCTCAGTCCCTCCTGGAGCTGCACAAGAGGAGGAAAGCCCTGACCCATCTGGAGGTGCACTACTACCTAAGGCAGATAATCCTGGGCTGTCAGTATCTGCATCACAATCAGATCATTCACAGGAACCTTAGGTTGAGTAATGACTGCTTGAAGGAGGATCTGGAGGTGAAAATAGGTGAGGTGCTGTTAGCAGGCTTTTAGCAGCATCAACCCATTCCTTGTTCTTGTAGCCTTCACAAGTAAATGTATTCTATTAAAAACAATTCTTTTCAGGGTAAGGGCATGGCTCAGGGTTGGAGCACCTGCCTAGGGTCCCCCAGTGAGAGACTTGGGGCATGGCTAAGGGTAGATCCCCCACCTAGAATCCCCCAGTGAGGGGCTGGTGGTGTGGTTCAGGGGTAGAGCCTCTGCCTAGAATCCCCCAGAATCACCCAGGTGTAGACTTTTATCAATTTCCAGACATTACTCTCAAGCTATTATTTCCTAACTCCCCGACTCTTCCCTTATCAGTGATACAAAACTCCTTTCAGGAAAGAAAACCTGACTTCTGAGAAGAAAGGATCAATGCTCCAATACATCCCAAGCTCCCTAGCAAGGATGAATCACATCAGTGCTGTACTGTAGAAAATTGGGACCTCAGCTCCGGAGCATGCACAGAGGACCTGAAAGAGAGTCCGGGCCTCCAGTCTGGGAGGGGTTCAGGGAGTTGCTCTAAGGACCCCCGTTCTCTGGCTCAGATGCCTGTCAGCCCAGGCTCTAGCCTTGACCAGCCCTCGGGGGCGCCCCTAAATTCTGCCCTGCTGCAACCGCAACTCACCCCACGCCCCATTGGGAGGAGCATGCCAGTTTTCTGCAAGGTTCTCAGGGCCTAGGATGCAGAGAGGACCATATATTGTCACAACTCGAGGGTGTTTCTGCAGGCAGCATGCCAGGTGAGTACCAAGCTCGCACTTGGTGGGTATCTTCCAGCAAAGGGTGGTGTAAGGGGGCATGCCTTCGAGACTTCTCTCAGAGGCTCAGGCTTCCAGCCCCACTTGGAAAGCACTAAATACTAGCAGGAGGGGGGCAGGGCTACCGTAGCGCCCCACCTTTCTCAGCTCTATGGAGCTGGGAAATGGGAAAGCACCAACCACAGGAGGTGTCTGTGGTGTGCCCTCAGATGGGGCGTGGCCTCAATACTAGAGGCAATCCTCCTGACTTAACCTCTTGGGGACTGGAATTCTAGACATGATCCACCGTGGCTGGTTAAACATCTCCCCTTAACAGAGGATATCAAATTTTCTTTATAGAGACGATGTAACATTTTAAAGTCATTTAAGTTGAGTTTCACGATCAAATCTATGATGATCTTTCCCAGTTACTGTCCACACGTGATTTACATTTGTCTCCTGGACACATGTGTTAGCCTCTCTGTCATTCAATGTCTTTCCAGATCAGGCATTTTCAGTGCCTCCTAAACACCCCGAGTTCCTCATATTGTGGTGATCCCCGACCATAAAATTGTTTTCATTGCTACTTCATAACTGTAATTTTGGTACTGTTTTGAATTGTAATGTAAAAATTTTGGAACTAGAGGTTCATAAAGGGGTCAAGGCCCAAAGGTTCAGAACTGCTTCTTGAACTCCAGCAAAGTACTGTGGCCCCTGAACTTCATCCACTACCTTATTCCAGCATAGACTACGGTTAGTGTGAGTTCTTTCTGTTGTCTTTCCTCCCAGAATCTGCATGCAGTGGGTAACATTAATATGTTGAAATTGGTCTTGTTATTGTCACTGAAATATAAATGTCAGTTAAATTGACTTTTGCCAAACAAGAACAATATCAAATAAGGTACTTTAGGAAATACCTTGTGCTATTCACAGTGTTAGAAGTAAGAATAGCTATGTCAAAGTAATGAGCAAGTCTATCACCTAAAATTGGTATCTAAACCCTTTGCTGAATTCAAAGGATATTTTCTGACCTGTTTCCATGGTGTCGTTGAACCACTACTCTTTAGACACAATCTCACCATGTAGCCCATGCTGACCTGAAATTTGCACCAAAACTCATATTAAAAATTAAAGGGTTTTATCTAAATTTCATATTCCTCCCAGGGACTAGAAGTGTAGCATGCATGAGGCCCTGGGTTCAATCCTCAGCACCCACATAAACTTGGTACCTTCTACATGCCTGTAATCTCCTACATCAGTCTCCCAAACCCTGATAACCAGGTGTGAGGCATCAGACCCAGGGAACTGTAACTTCTGCTGTTCTGGCGTATGTAACTTGTTCCATACATGATTCACCTGGCTGTTAAGTTGTAGCGAGGTCACACATGGACATTTCTTCCTCTGTAATTATTCATCCAGCAAGTCCCTAATGACCACTAACCGGAAAACCCATTCAGTCTCATTTTCTTCTGCTCATGGTGTCTCCCAGCTTGCATGCTTTATTCAATTAATCAGTTCATTCATTCGGGTCCATTATGAGCACTGAAATCACAGGTTCTGCAGATTAAGAAATGGACATCAGCACCTAGTGAAAATTGTAGCTTTGTTAACCTTTGGATCTCCAGCTTTTAAAGGACCAGCCTTACAAAACATCCTCATTGACTCTTTCAGGGTCTGCTTCATTCACAGCTAAGCCTCTTACTGCACTGGCATGTAAATGACATGGGGACAGTATCCTTACCAACATCCTTTTATCTTTGTTTCATTTTTAATTAGCTTACAAAGACTGGATGGTCAAAAGGCTTCCTCCAACATCTTTAGTTTTTGTTAACTAACCCTTGCACAGTTTACCCTTCCCGCCCCACTCTCCCCTACCAGCCTGCTGCCAGCCCCACTTATGCCTTTAACCTGGAGTGTTCTCCCCCATTCTTTCATGCAACCTGTGTTTACCATCCCTTCTGATTATATTTTTTACTTTGGCCACAAGATATAGGTTTTCTTATAGCTTTTTCATATGCCCTTAATTCTAGTTAAGTCTTTTCCAGTGCGTCACTTTCCCATCCATGTTTGAACCTTCCCACTCCGAGCATCCCCCCTTTCTACCTTGACTTTTTAACTATATTTTACTAAATCCACCTGCCCTCATGAATCCATCCCCAATGGCCTGTCTCTAATTACCTGGCTTCCACATGTACTCCAAAAACACACAAAAGAAAAATTTCAAAGCAAGGATACCTGTGTGAGAGACAGTACATTTGTCTTAATGAGGCAGGGTCTCATGTACTCCTGGCTGGCCTTTTACTCACTGTGTAGGAAGGATGTCCTTCAATTACAGGCAGGCAGCACCATGCCCTATTTGTGTGAGTGTTGACGATGGAGCCCAGGACCAATTGACCTACATCCCTAGACTAGGGAAGAAACATACAATAGGAAGAAAAAAATTATGTGAACACTAAGTGTATCTTGTGTATTTTTTGAGACTGATCTTTACTATGATGCCCAGGATGATCTTAAAGCCCTGAGTTTAAGTGTTACACTTGCCTGGGCCTCCTGAGTAAATGACACTGTGGGTATGCACCTCTACATGAAATATGTTTCTTGAGCAGATTCTTGGCATGGCTCCTCTGCACATCCATCTCCGTGAGCATTCATGGAAAATGCTTCTGTGTATAGAAAAGAGCGGATGAATGGGGCCCCTGCTGGAAAGGTGGCAACAACTTCCCACTGACCTATGAACCCAATCTAGACCCTTCATTTAACCTGAAACTGCCTCCAGGAGCTGACAATGTTTGACCCTTGGTGCTGTGCTGTTCCATGCACACCTCGGCTTCATTTTTGTTTTGTGGGTTTTTTATATCTAGCATAGAACTGAGCTTCTCTGACATTTTTTATATGTTATGTTTTCATTTATGCTCTCACTACCTTTCCCACTCCTTCAAATAGACCTTCCCTCTCTCCACCCCAAACAGATTGACTTTCTGCGTTCATCTCATATACACCATTATCCTCTTTGCCTCCCTCCTCCTGTTAGGTCTCCTCCTCCTGTCTCATAGTCACCTTTCTAGATGTGCACGTGTGTGTGTGTGTGTGTGTGTGTGTGTGTGTGTGAGAGAGAGAGAGAGAGAGAGAGAGAGAGAGAGAGAGAGAGAGAGAAATAGAGAGATAGAGATAGAGAGAGGGGGGGTGGAGAGAGCAACCCCTAGATGGCACACTTTATCACATTCTTCCACTGTCTGCCTCACTATGGTCACTTAATCCTTTACATGACAGACAATATATAATTTACTGTCTCTTGAAACTATGAGAGAAAAGGGAGTTCCTAAAGATTTTAGTTCCCAGTTTCAAGTAGTCATGACAGGCTAAGGCTAGAGGTTATCTTCCTGATACCTGAGTCAATTCGCAATATAATGGTAAACAGATCTAATAATACACCTACTTTATAACTAAGCAGTCTGATGCTAAGATGGAAAAAAATCACAGTCTTGATCTTAACTCCCAGCACAATCTCTTCATACCACATTTAATCCACGATACAATTTCAGAAATGAACAAACAGATGCCAAGTTCTCCTTTCACAACCTACTTCCTGTTACGCCCACATCATGAGCCCCTCAGAGACCACCAGGAGTCCTAGTTCATATGCAAAAGCAAAGAACCTTTCATGCAAGATCCAGCTTGGGCTCTTCATCCATTCCGACACAGTGGTTGGATCAGGGAGTGCATTGACCTCAGTTGAGGCAGAGTTTTTAAGGAGTAAAGGATAGGGGTTAGGGGAATGCTGGATTCAGATGGGGGTTGAACTCCTGATTGGGCAGGAGTGAGGTAACAGAAGTTTCATCAAACAGTGGTTGGTACTGGCTGCAAGGAAATTGGCAATCTATATACAAAGTAAGTAAGCTATCTTTAATGTTCTAGAGCACTTAGTACTTGTTTATCTCAATTCTGATTGGTCTCCTGCAGGGTACATTTGTAGCTTTTCCTGGTTATTGTAATGGTGAGACCAAGTTCTAATATTGTTAGTTTGCAGCCTGTCATGGCTGCCCTAATGTTAAGTTAGGCCTCTTCGCTTCTCTATAAAGAAAGTAACATTCAGAGGTTCCCTTGCCTAGCAGCACTAATAGACTTTAAAAGCAGCAGCCAAGGTCTGGAGGAGTTGCATGTGTTTAAAAGGGAAGCTGTCAGGAGGTGTTTAGGAAGGCATTTAGGAATCAGAATACAGATGCTTTAGCATCAAAGGAGCATTGGAAGGAAATTAGCAGCTCTAGTGTTTGTCTGGCTTTTCAGCTTGCTACCCCAAGATTGAACTACCAGCTCCTCCCCAGCCTCCTCTCTACTTGGCAAAATAGAACACTTTTTAGATTGAAGGTATTGATTTGTTATAACATGGTGTCTTTCTTTCCCTTATTTAGTTTCTACTCCTAATAATAATATTTTTTTATTTTTATTTTGCAATACAATTCATTTCTACATATCAGCCACAGATTCCCTTGTTCTCCCCCCTCCCGTCCCCCTCACCTTCCCCCCCAACCCCCCCATTCCCATCTCCTCCAGGGCAAAGCCTTCTCCACAGACTGAGATCAACCTGGTAGACTCAGTCCAGGTAGGTCCAGTCCCCTCCTCCCAGGCCAAGCCAAGCAATCCTGCATTAGGCCCCAGGTTTCAAACAGCCAACTCATGCAATGAGCACAGGACCCGGTCCCACTGCCTGGATGCCTCCCAAACAGATCAAGCCAATCAACTCTCTCACCCATTCAGAGTGCCTGATCCAGTGGGGACCCCTAAGCCATTGGTTCATAGTTCATGTGTTTCCATTCATTTGGCTATTTGTCCCTGTGCTTTATCCAACCTTGGTCTCAACCATTCTCGCTCATATAAACCCTCCTCATTCTCGCTAATTGGACTCCCAGAGATCCACCCAGGGCCTAGTCATGGATCTCTGCATCATCCAGATCCCTCAGTAGTTGGATGAGGTTTCTAGCATGACAATTAGGGTGTTTGGCCATCCCATCACCAGAGTAGGTCAGTTCGGGATGTATCTCGACCATTGCCAGCAGTCTGTTGTGTGGGTATCTTTGTGGATTTCTGTGGGCCTCTCTGGCACTTTGCTTCTTCCTATTCTCATGTGGTCTTCATTTATCATGGTCTCCTATTCCTTGTTCTCCCTCTCTGTTGTTGATCCAGCTGGGATCTCCCGCTCCCCCAAGCTCTCTTTCCCTCGACCCTCGCCTTTCACTACCCCCACCCATGTCCAGGCTGTTCATGTAGATCTCATTCCATTTCTCTGTCATTGGGCGATCCCCGTGTCTTTCTTGGGGTCCTGTTTTCCAGGTAGCCTCCCTGGTGATGTGAGTAGCAGACAAGTCATCCTTGTTCCACATCTAGTATCCTGCTATGAGTGAGTACATACCATGTTTGTCTTTCTGAGTCTGGGTCACCTCACTCAGGATGATTTTTTCTAGATCCATCCATTTGTCTGCAAACCTCATGATGTCATTGCTTTTCTCTGCTGAGTAGTATTCCATTGTGTATATGTACCACATTTTGTTTATCCATTCTTCAGTTGAAGGGCATCTAGGTTGTTTCCATGTTCTGGCTATTACAAACAATGCTGATATGAACATAGCTGAACAAGTGCTCTTATGGTGTGGTTGAGCATTCCTTGGGTTGTCAGAATGGCTAAGATCAAAAACACTGAAGACACCTTATGCTGGAGAGGATGTGGAGCTAGGGGAACTCTCCTCCACTGCTGGTGGGAATGCAAGCTTGTACAACCACTTTGGAAATCAATATGGTGCTTTCTTAGAAAATTGGGAATCCATCTCCCCCAAGATCCATCTATACCTAATAATAATCTTAACTATGCAATCCAGCTCAACTTCAGGGGAATGAGAAAATTACAAACCCAAAGCAAAGCAGCGGGACTCAAGGACAATAAGATATTAATGCAGAAGGATGGGTGCCACAGTTGAATGGGTGCCCTCGGAGCTGCAGATGGGAGGGTCTGGTGTTTAAGGTGTATGTCAGTCAGAACTGTCACAGCTGTCCCATAGTTGGCAGTGGTGAGCTTCTTGCTGAACTTGCTCTTCTTGGACCCAAGGTGCTCATGGCTTCAACAATGCTCGTGTCTTCTTTAGCATTCCCAAGGACCATGTGTTTGCCACGAAAACACTGAGTCTCTGCAGTGCAGATGAAAACTGGAAATTGTTTGTCTTGGTTCATCATTTTCCATGGACAAAATACCATTACCTGAATGTTCAGGATGACATTCACATCCTTAAATTTCACCCCATGGATGGACTTCATATGAGTGACTATGGCACATAATGTCACCACCCAGACATGAATCCTGGAATAATTCAGTGAAAGGAGAAACACTCGTAACCAAATACTTCCTTTCAAATGCTCAGAGCAGCAAAGTTTTCTTCTACCTTGGGAACTTTGCAAATAGCTAGAGGAAGACTCAGCTTAAGGGTGGCTGTCTATAACGAGGTTGAAGACCACTGTGGACTTGACCATAGATCTAGTGGCCACAGGGCACATGGGCAATCTGCAAATAATCTTTTTTAAAAAGTTAACAGAGAGGCACCGTTCACCAAAGGATGGAAACTGATGCAAACTCACAGCCAAATACTAGAAGGAGTTCAGTGAATCCTAGAGAACAGGAGGAGAAAGGATTGTAGGAGCCAGAGGGGTCAAGGACACCACAAGAAGACTAACAGAATCAACTAACCTGTATCTGATTAGTTCTTGGTTTCCTAGGCTATCCCACATGCATTCAGTCCTCAAGTCCCCGCCCATCAAGTTTCTTGCTTACAAGATACAAATTTTAAAAGGAGCTGCACCATTAGAGCACTCACATGATGCAGAGTGCTGGGTGGCTTCCATTTTAAATCCCCGTGGCCAATTAGCAATGTGCAGGCCTTTGAAAGATTCCTAGCCCCCTGTTTGAATTCGAGGGGGAGCAGAGCAAGTTTAGGAGCATGAAGGCAACAGCCAAAGCTGGAAAGCTGACTCCAGCACCAGCTGACCTCTGGAAAGCCAGAGTCCAGGAAGATGCAGGTCCCAGTGCCCCAGTGGCCACCCCACTGTTGAAAAAGTTTCCAGAGGTCTTAGTGGACAAAGGCAGCAGGCACCTTTATGTAAGGGGATGCTTTCTGAGTAAAGTAGGCTTTGTCAAATGCTTTGAGATCTCAGACCAAAACACAAAGGAGGTGTTCGCAGCCAAGATCGTGCCTAAGTCTTTGCTCACACCCTCCCAGAAGGAGAAGCTGTCCAAAGAGATTTCCATTCACCGCAGCCTCTCACATCAACATGTCCTAGGCTTCCACAGCGTTTTCGAAGACAGTGAATTTGTGTTTGTGATTTTGGAGCTTTGTTGGGAGAGGGTGAGTGTTTCTGCTGTGGGACTGGGGTGCCCATACCGTGAATTTGCTGGCAAAGGGCTACTGATGCCTTGGAGTAGCCTTAGAGGAGTGCTTGGGTTTCAAGCAATTATGAAAAGGCTTCTAGTGAGGGTGCTGAGTGGGGTTGAGAAAAGACTCTGGGTAAGGGCATGCATTAACAGGAGAGGGTCCTGTGAATGATAATGACCAGTGTATGGGCAGAATCATCAGGAGTCCGCCAAGACCTCCCTTTAATCCCGAGAGCTTAGTCCTGGTCCCATCCAGCTGGCCACCCTTTTCCGTGGGTTTCAGTAACTTCTTCCTTCTTTCTCAGTCCCTCCTGGAGCTGCACAAGAGGAGGAAAGCCCTGACCCAGCTGGAAGTGCGCTGCTACCTAAGGCAGATAATCCTGGGCTGCCAGTACCTGCACCACAATCAGGTCATTCACAGGAACCTTAGGTTGAGCAACATCTTCCTGAAGGAGGATCTGGAGGTGAAAATAGGTGAGGTGCTGGACCTGCAGGTGCGTGGTGCCAGTACAAGAGGAGGCAAGGAGAGGAAATCTGGGAGAATGGGAGCCAGAGAAATGGAGGGCCGGTGGGACATGGAGGTGCTGCCCTCCAGAATGCCCTCTAGTCTAGAAATGGAGGGTGAGGGGCCCACACACCAGTGTCTTCCCTTTAGATGCATTTGCTCTTTTTGTTTTTGTGTTTGCTGTTGCTGTCTTGTATACCTCAATACAGTAGTTCTAAAAATAGTTTACTTGGGGGTGCCTCCCCCAATTACTACCCTATCTCATAGCACTGAGCCAGGTGATCCTCAGTCAGTTTCCTTTTTAAACTGGAGGTCTAGACGTATGCCATGGAGCAAGGCTGGCAGCATTCCCTTAGCTGTCTCTTTACTGACCTGAAAAGTCCTGTTCCCTTGAGACTCTGATTTGCCTCAGTCCCTATTCCCATGTCACCTTTCTTACCTTGTCCATCAGCAGTCACGAAGAGTATTTACTTGGTTCCCTAGTGCCTCCAATTCTGTTTGTCATGTGGTTTAAATTTCATTTATTTATGTGAGGGGTGGGGATAGAAGGTAACTTTCAGGAGTCAGTTGTTTCCTTGCACTGTGTGGGTCCCAGGGTCAACTCAAGCCATCTGTCTTAGAGGCATGCACCTTTACCTACAGAGCCATCTTGCCACTCTAGCCCTGCTATCTAAAAGAGCAGTGTAAAGGGCAGTGGGAGGCCACCCAGGGCCAGCAAAGTAGAAAGGTTCCCGGAACAGAGACTTTGGAGTCTGATTCTCAATGGTCAGACCTGAGGCAGCTGTCTGCAACCACAGATGACCCAGACCTAGCAGCTGAGCGTCCTCTCTTCTTTCCTCTGTCCCAGGGGTTTTCAGGCTGGCAACCAAAGTGGAATATGAAGAGGAACAAATGAAGACCTTTTGTAGCCCCCAGAACTTCGTAGCTCCCGAAGCAGTGAGACTGGGAAGTTTTGAGGAGGATGTATGGTCCATCGGGTGCATCATGTAAGTTGGGAACGGACTCAGGAGCTATGGGCCTCAATGGGGCTTTCTGAGGCACTTCACCCAGTTGACCTTACCCTCTGGATCCTTCTTCCTTATAGAAAGGCTATTTCAGGGAGCAGGTTGCCCACATGAAGCCCTATTTCTTTATCAATCTGGTGTAGGATGTAGGATTTCCTGTAGCTTGGACTTATGGTCCAGAGAAGGGACGAGAAAGTCTCTACAATTCTTCCTCCAGCTCTTTGCTGTTTACTAAAAGCATGCACAGATCCAAACCATCAACACCTGAGGGCTTGTTAGGACTATGGAATCTCAGTTCTGAACCTGGGTTTAATTGTGTCCCTGGCTGACTTTCAAGAAAGCTTTGGAAGCACTGATGAGCACTGATGGGAGAATCAGATCACCAGAAGGGCTGATGGTAGGCAGAAGTCCCATCATGGTGGCCTGTGGTGGATAGCAGTGGCCTCTGGGGTACTTGGAGTCCTCTATTACTGCAGCCCAGAGCTGGGGAATTCCTGACCCCTTAGTATCCGGGTGTTATCAGCTACATTCTTCTGAGGGCTTGTCCTAGTCAAGGTTACCGTGACACTAGACAGACTTGGAGACCATCCCCATCTCTTCCTAGTCAGTGAATCCAGCACAGCCCCCTTCCCCTAGACAATGACTTATGCATTTGGACTTTCCTGGGAGTTTGAGCAAAATTCTTCCTTGTACCTCCAGGTACACCTTGCTAGTGGGCAAGCCACCTTTTGAGACCTCATTGGAAAAAGAAACCTACCTCCGGATTCAACCAAATGAATACAGTGTTCCCAAGGTGACAGCAGCACAATTTTATTTTGTTTCACCCAAAAGCTATTCACTGAGCCCAGCTATATCCTGAGGACAGAGCCTTGCCTCTAGTATAGCCACAGAGAATGTATGTGTGAAGGCTGGCCTTGAACTCGCTGCAGGTTGAGTTTGAATGTCAAATTCTCCTGCCTCTACTTCCCAAGTGTTGAGATTATAGGCATGCAGCACCATGCTGGCTTTATGGGGTATACTGGGAACTGAACTGGGTTTTGTGCTTATAGGCAAGCACTCTGCCAACTGAGTCCCATGCCCAGCTTCCTGAATGGATGTAAAGTGCAGGGAGAAAATGGAGAAGAGGCAGACGTGCTTAAGCTTGGGACATGGACCATCTCCACCTAACTGAGCTGTGTTTAGCAGATGATGGCTTGACTCTTGTGAACCAGGTTTCCCATCTACAAAGTTTAAGTTTCCCCAAGGGCTTCCAGTGACAAAATGACATCTTTTTTTCACAACCAATGGCATACATCCGTTTGAAGGGATAACCCATTTCTGGGGACTAGGTCTACCTGGGACATATGACCACTTTCAAATTGGTGTCCTTGACTTGTATATAGAGCAGCTATGTTACAGAGAATCAGCTCACTGCAGACAGCATGGACTGGCTTGAGCCAGCTGGACTGTTGTGGTATAAGTTCTGGCTTTATCACCTAGGCTGTGTGTATTCTCAGACAGGGGCACTTTCTCAATTCTGAGCCTGCTTCTTCATCTAAAGTGAGGCATAGTAGTGGAGTGAGTAGTCTTTACTTTTGTGAGGCTGAGGCAGGGGAACCTTAAGTTCCAGGCTAGCCTGAGCTACATAGGGAGATCCTGTCTCAAACTATATAGGGGGAGGGAGTCTTTTAGGAGTTTTTGTGAGGCCCAAATGAATTAATATACAAGACTGCATTCCTGATACATAAGAAGCCTAGAGTTAATGCTCTGACTGACAGGCCTGTTCTAGGTTTTATCCCATATACCAGGTGTCCCACGTGGTGGGGACCCAGGTATGGTACCGCTCCCCCATTCTACAGATACGCCTTGGTGGGCCCAGAAAGCCCAGGCTATTTGTCAGAGCTGGAATCATGGGGGCGGAACTGGGATTTAAACACAGGTCTGGGGACCTGGAGGCCCCTCTGGTGGTAAATAACTAAATGTGCTTTGCAAGGGCAAGCTGGGGAAATCGTCCCAAGTTAATGTTGAGTGCCAAGTGGCAGGAAATGATCCTTCTCACAAGCAGGGTCACACTGGTCCTTGCTAAAGCTGGGGTGGAGGACCTGGTAGAGCTTATGGCCACTGAACTATGGTATATTTGAGATAGGAGCAGCCACATGTCAGGTGGGGTCCCTGTCTCATCTCACTTAGGCTCTGCTTCTCCCCTCCAGCACATCAATTCCGTTGCTGCCTCCCTCATCCAGAAGATGCTTCAGGCAAAACCCGCTGCCTGCCCCACCATTGAGGAGTTGCTCAAAGATGAGTTCTTCACTTCTGGCTATATCCCTGCCCATCTGCCCATCACCTGCCTCACCATCCCATGAAGGTTGTCAGTAGGTCCCAGTGGCCTGGACCCCAGCAGCAGGAAGCCTCTCATGGTCCTCGAGAAAGGTGAAGCTTGGTCTTGGTAGGGTAGACTGCAGAGAGCCTATATTTCCAGGGTGCATTTCAGGGTGCATGCACCTTACTCTGCCTCCAGAGGTGGGTCCTATCTTTGAGGTCTGGTCCCTGGGTTCTTCTGACCCTTGGGCTTGGCAGGAAGAACAGACTGAATCAACCCATTTGATCTGATAAGGAAAAAAATGGACTGAACACCAAGCCCAGGAAATTCTTTTTGATTATGTTTATAAGTCTCTATCGTCTCCTTTGCATGTTTTTGTTGAATGCTGGAACTTGTCAGGTATAGACATGGAGTATAACACGGCACCCATCCTCATTCTCATTCTCAGCCATGGTTCACTCTGCACCTTTCACCCCTTTGAGTGCTTGTGCTTTGTCTGTCAGGAGAAGGTCTCTCACTGTCACCAGGCTGCTCTGGAGTCAGTCCTCCTGCCTAGGGCTCTGGATTACAAGTTTGTCAGCACATCTCACTTTTAAAATGTCACTACAGCCAACTCCAGCAGTCTGCCATTTTACACTTAAAGTACATCTGTGAGTTCGAGGCCCGCCTGGTCTACAGAGCAAGTATCAGGACAGCCAGAGCTGTTAGAGAAACTCTGTCTGAAAAAGAAAACATAGGATTAAATAGGTAGAAGAATGAACAGGAAGCATCTGACCCTCTTTTCCCAGTCTTTACATTTCTTTTGATGTTTTCATCATCAATCCTCTATGTGTTTCTCTTAACTGATTAAGAGCAAACTTTGTGTTTTTTTTAAATTTATTTATTTATTATGAGGACACCAGATTTCATTACAGGTGGCTATGAGCCACCATGTGGTTGCTGGGAATTGAGCTCAGAACCTCTGGAAGAGCAGTCAGTGTTCTTAACCGCTGAGCCATCTCTCCTGCCCCAAGAGCAAACTTTCTTCTGTTAATGCTTCTGTGTATACTTCTTGAAAACAGACGTGACAGACATCAGCACAACCTTCAGGACTGTGAGCATTAATCCAACCCCATATTGTCTTCACAATTTCTTTTTCTTTTTTGTTTTCTTTTATTCCTTCCTTCCTTCCTTTCTTTTTTCTTGAGACAAGATCTCACTATGTAGCTCAAGCTGGCCTCCAGCTCACAGAGATCCACCTGTTTCTGCCTTCCAAGTGCTAGGATCAAAGGCGTGAGCCACCTCACCTGGTAGCATTCTTTTTTTTTTTACTCCCTCCTCCCTCCCTCCTTCCTTTTATTTATTTATTTATTTATTTATTTATTTATTTATTGAAACAGACTATGAAGCCAAGACTGGCCTCAGGTTTGAAATCTCTGGCCTCACTACCTCCTCTCCCCCCAGATGCTGGGCTTATAGGAGTGTGCCACTGTATTTAGAATTACTATTTTTTCTTGCAGTTTTATTTGACCTTAACATATTTCATTAAGGGTTGTAGTCTTTGAGAAGTAACTTGAAGGACCTTGCTTCTCTGTGTGGCTATACCACCAATTTAATATAAAGTTCTCAGTTTGTCTGTTCAATTAGATTTACATTTTTAGGCAAATGACTTGCGATGATTTAGTTTCGGTTTTGGTGCTTTGAGACAGAGTCTCATGTTGTTCAGGCTAGCCTTGAACTGCCAAATGCTGGGGTTACCAATGTGTGCCTCACCCTGACTCAATGACTTGGATTTTTTGGAATAATTTTAGGGCTATACAAAGTGTTATAAACAAAATAGAGCTGACTTCCTATGTGCCCTTCCCCCAGCTTCCTCCACTATCAGCATCTCTCTACCACAGAGTAATTACCAAAACTAAAACGTTAACCACAAGATAATCCTGTCAACAAACTCCAGGCCTCATGTCAATCACACAGATTCCCCATTAACATCACCTTGTTCTGTACCAGGGTGCAAGTCAGTACCGCACATGGCATTTAGAGACCTCAGCTTCTTAGTTTCCTCTAGCCTGTGACAGTCTCTGGGTTTTTCCTTGTGTCTTGTGACCTTGACACTTTCAGAGGGTGCTGATGAGTGTCTTTCCTGTTGGGTTTGTTGCTTCCTCATGAGTTAGGGGAGATTCTACATTCTGAGCAGGAATGCTGCAGAGGGAATGTGCTCTTTTCAATGTGTCGGGGAGACAAGGCTGTCTCTGCTACAGATACTGTTTTTTCGGTCATTGATAAGTATCTTGCAGGAAGTTGTTTGAAAAACTGCTGCCCATCAATTTTGGCACCCACAGGTGGGTCTTGGTGTAGTAATTATTTCTGTAATTATTTTCCCCTTTAAATTTTTGAGGCAGTGTCTCATGTGGCCCAGTCTGCTTAGAATTCCCAGTAGCCAAGGATGACCTTGAGCTTCTGTTCCTTCTGCCTCTGTCTCCTGAGTGCTAGGATTACAGGCATGGACCACCATGGCCAGTTTATAAGGAGCTGAGAATGTTAATTCAGGGCTTCACACTAGACAAGCACTCTGTTAATTGAGCTATTGCTGAGCCCCCTTTTCTGTTCCCCTTTCCTGTAGTGCTGGACTTGTGGTCCTATCTTATGGGGAGGTTTTAAAATACTGCTCCATTAGGATTCTTTTTTTCTTAGTAAAGTAGCAATAAATGAAAATGTTTTATAGACATTTTCTAGATTATCCAAAGGTAGAGAATTGTATCATGTGATATGTGATCCTGGAGTAGTCGTCCTCCATTTTCAATAGTTTTATTTGGACAAGTTTGATTTTACATATTCTGCAAACAGTCTCATTTTGTTTTTCCTGTGAATGGGTGTTTTACATGCATATGTGAATGTGTAGCACATGAATGCCTGGTGACCACAGAGGCCAGAAGATGGTCTTGGATCTCCTGGAACTGGAGTTACAGGTGGTTGTGAGCCTCCATGAGAATGCTGGGAACCAAAGCCAGGTTTTTGACAAGAATAGCCAGTGCTCTTAGTGGCTGAGCCATCTCTCCAGCCCCTTTTTGGCTAGTTTTAAAATCAGAGCTTGGATATTTTATTTCACACTTAAGTTCTTAATACAGAATGGTGGGATTGTTGTTTTTAATTGAAAATTTAGGGAATGTCCTGTTTCACTGGAGAACTGACACATGCTGGTTTGGGGAAGTGAATTGTTCAAGAATAAAGACAGCAACAGTGACCAGCACAGCCCCGATCACCATAGGCCATCTTAATGCTTCAGTGTGGATTTCATTAGACTCACTTATCTGTAAGCACACAAAGCAAAAGGCTTACACTGCGCTTCACCCATCCTTCCGCCTTCCTGGATGCACAAAGTGCCCTTCATTCTTTACTTGAATTGGTGCCTCCAGGCTCCCTCCCTGAGTGACAGCCACAGCAGGTGTCCTGGAAGGGCAGGCTGTTGGAGCAGAGGCCTGAGCTCCTGAAGCTTTGTGGCCTCTCAGTAAGCCCCATATACCTGACACACCAACGCGGTCCTGACTCAGTTCCCAAGAGCAGTGAGAGATGATGGGACTGTGGGAAGAGTGCTGGCTGTGGCAGGCAGGCCTGTGCTCCCTCCAGCGGTTTTGTGCCTGGCTAATGGCCATGTCACCTTCTTAGGTGTAGAGAGACCCTTGCCTGACCATCCCTGGGAAAAGGAGGAACCAGTGGTTTGGGGGACAGGTGAGGCCATCGAGTGCCACCTCAGTGACATGCTGCAGCAGCTGACCAGGGTCAATGACTCCAAGCCCTCAGAGCGAAGGCTGGTGCAGCAAGGTGAGTCCTGCAGGGGGCTTCCCATCTGGAGAAGGCAGGGTATCTCAGTCAGCAAGCAGATCCCCCATTTCCTGGAGATCAACATCCAGATGAGTTAGCCTGACACCCAAGGCCCTCCTGGTGTGCCTTCTGCCTGTTTCTGCCCCATCTCACTCTGTAGGTGACTGATAGGTCACCTCTGCACAGCTGTGTCTGTTGTCTCCTTTCTGCCCAGGGAATTAATCCCTTGGTCCTCAAGAGACTCAGGTCAGCTCCAGCCTCAGGGCTTTTGTGCCCACTGTCACCACCCTGACTCCCACTGCCAGCACGTCCTAACCTGATGTAATTCTCCATAACATTTCTTCCCAACACATTCATGCATCTGCAGTTGGGACTCGTGTGCACTGAGGTGGTTCTAGCGTTGCAGGAATTGTTGGGTCTGCTCAGTTTCTTCAGCACTTTAATCTGGGGCACTAGGCTTTCCACCAGCCCTGATGTTAATGACTTTGATTACTCTTCATCCCTCTGGTTGGCATGTGGGTCCTTCTAGAAGCCTAGGGTTTTCTTTTCCTATCCACACCTACCACAGTTCCTGAGACACAGTAAAGGGGCACACTTAATGAATTGGGACTTGACGTCCTGGGCTGCAATTTGGGTGTCTGGGTTTGTGCCATCAGAGCCCTCCACAGTCTTCATAGGGTGTCCCCCCAGCTCTGGGGAGGATTATCTGAGAAGACAGAAGAAGGGGCTGGCCTAACCAGTTCTCTGTTTCTATCCCAGAGGAGGCTGAGGATCCTGCATGCATCCCCATCTTCTGGGTCAGCCAGTGGGTAGACTAATCAATGAAGTATGGACTTGGTAGGTGTCTCCAGAATGTATGATGGGCAGGGGATGGTGTTGCCATAGTAGCCTTTGAGTGAACAAGTGAGTGATGTCTGTAATTGTGTGGCTGTGTTACCAAGAATTGTTAGGGCCTAATACATGCAAGCACTCTACTACTGAGCTCTTCCCAGCCTTTGTCCACCTCCTCCTGCCTTTCTAAGATAGCCCTCCCCCTGCCATTAGGGTATCAGCTCTGTTACAACAGTACAGGGGCACTCTTTAATGACTCAACATGCTTCGTCCTCTACAATGATGGCGACAGCCTAGAGTACATAGACCATGATGGTATGGAGTCTTACCCCACCATGAGCTCCCACCCTGACTCCTTGATGAAGAAGGTGGGAACTGGCTACTGTAAGAGGGTGTGGCAGGGTATGGGGGCTGCCTCAGGGTCAGGCTCTCATTCTGGAATCCCTGCCTCAACTCTCCAACCAGATCACTCTCCTCCAGCATTTCCGAAGTTACAAGAATGAACACCTGCAGAAGGCGGGGGCCAACACGGAGGCAGGGGCCAACACCACACCCCGGGAAGGTGATGAGCTGGTCCGGCTGCCCTACCTGAAAAAATGGCTCCGCACAAGCCGCGCCATTGTCCTGCACCTCAGCAACGGCACTATACAGATTAATTTCTTCCAGGTGTGTAGGGGCCTGTACTTGAGGTGGCTGGGTGGGGTGGAAGTGCTGTTCCTTTCACCAGGTGGGGAGCCTTCCTCCCCTTTGCCTCAACCTCAGGCACCAGCTGAGCTTTTCACTCACTCCCTTCTTCCCTCCAAGGACCACACCAAACTTATTCTGTGCCCCATGATGGCAGCTGTGACCTGCATCAAGAACCAGGACTTCCACACATCCTGCTTGAGCCTTCTGGAGGAATATGGCTGCTGCGAGGAACTGGGTAGACAGCTATGCTATGCCCACACCATGCTAGACAGGCTGCTGAGCTCAAAGTCTCCCAACAGCAGACTCCAGGACAACTCCTAGGCCTCCGTCCATTGGGCTGGTGCCCCTTCACTCTGCAAGCTCTGCCTGGGGCTGCATTGCTGGACTTCTGGGACTGCTGTTCAGTAGCCCTATCCATGGGGCTGGGTGGGGAAGGGGCTGCTATGTAAGTTATTTTTGTATATGTTTGGATCTGAGTTTATAACCTCTTCCCCTGCCCTCAGTCTACTGTATAACTTGTATAGATATATTTCTATTGAATTTGAGACTGTTCTTTCCTTGGCTTTATATTTATTCAATATATGTGCATATCTTTTCTTATCCTGTGTTTTTGTGAGTACCCCGAACCCAGTGTATTTCTCTGTTCCAACAGCCTCAGGCTGTTAAACTGCTGTCCAATATGTTGATGATCCCTAGACAAGGTTGAGCCACAGCCTTAACTCCTTGGTCCACCTTTGGGGCACCTGGTTGTCTCAGCTCTTTGACATCTGGCAGGACCTCCCAGCATCCAAAGTTGGTGACTAGTAGGGCAGGAAGAAGCTCTCAGAAGCACAGGTTCTCAGGGCATGGTGAGTGTGTAGCAGCAGCTTCATGAAGCGGTGTGAAATAATGGATGTAGCCAGCAGGGACTTGGCCCACAGCCTGGTGTACTTCAGTTGGGAGCTTCCTGTAGTGGTGCTTCTGGGGATGGTCAGGACAAGGACACTGACTCAGTTATGACAAGCCATCCCTGATCCATGTCCCACCTAGGCTCTAGAACACAATTTATTCTTCATGACATGGAGCATGTCTTGCACTGATAATCCTCTTTTAGGACTGGAACCTTTTCAGAGATGTGGGTGGAGAAATGGGCTGTAGGGATAATTCACTGGGTCCCTTCTCTCAGGAAGAGGCTCCTCCAAGCCTGCTCATCTATTCTCAGGGGACAATCCAGTCCCTCTTCCCCAAGGCACTCTCCATCAGGGGCTGATCTGCAGCTGAGAGGACTTTAGACAATGTCTGGAGGCATTTTGGCTGACTTGCCTTGGGAAGAAAGTACCTCTATCAACCTGTGAGGCCAGGGATGCTGCTAAGCATGCCACAGTATAACATGGCATAGGCTACAGGGCACTACCCACCCTCTCCCTGACTGTTTTCTCTTCTGAATCAGTACCGCCCAGGTTGAGAAACCATGACTTAGAAAAGGATTTTGTTGACATGGGGTCTTACTCCCTAGTTTAGGTCGGCCTTGAATTCTCCACTTCCTACTTCCTGAGGACCAGGGTTACAAGCATCATGCCGGGTTTAGAAAATGACTTGTTAACCTTCACTATGCTTCACATGATTGTGACTGGATAGGTAGCCTGTAATTGTGGCACTCAGGAAGGTGAGGCGGGAGGATCCTGAGTTCAAGCTACATAGAAAAAAAGGTGCTGGTTCTCATCTGTTCTGACCTAATGAGCTAGGTAGGACACAGTGTCAGTGTTTACCTAAGGTTAAGAATGTGGGGAAGTGAACTAATGTCATGGCAGTACAAAGGACAAAGCAGCACCTTCTGATCCTCCTGCCTCCGCTTCTCATGTTCTGAAGTACAGACATGCACCACCATGGGAGGTTCTGTGCAGTGCTGGGAATAGAACCCAGGGCATCATTTACACTAGGCAATAACCCTACCAACAGGATTACTTTCCGTCTCAGCTGCAGATCAGCCCCTGATGGAGAATGCCTTGGGGAAGAGGGACTGGATTGTCCCCTGGGAAAAGATGAGCAGGCTTGGAGGGTCCTCTTCCTGAGAGAAGGGACCAGTGAATTATCCCTACAGCCCATTTCTCCACCCACATCTCTGAAAAGGTTCCAGTCCTAAAAGAGGATTATCAGTGCAAGACATGCTCCATGTCATGAAGAATAAATTGTACTTAATTTCCTAAGTACTGGTATTCACCCCTTTAATACCAGTACTTAGGAAGCAGAGGCAGGGGTATCTCTGTGGGTTTGAGGCCAGCCTGGCCTATAGAGTGAGTTCCATGACAGCCAAGACTACAGAGAAGCCTTTTCTCAAAAAAAGAGAAAAGTCTCAGAAAATGATTATGAAATACAAAGAAAACTCAGAACTAAGCTTCTACACTGAAGTCACTCAACTCCAGCAAGTTTATGTATAATTTCACTAGATTTTTATAAAACTTGAGAGAAAATTGTCAGATATTCATACGTACAAGCACTTATGGATTGGGAATACTCAGTTTGAGACCCATAAGCTTCAAATCCCTGAAAGACACCCAATCATCAAACACTCTAAAATTGCTCTGTAGGCTGGGCTAACAATATGAATACAGATTAATGCATGTTTTGGAGGGAGGCTATATTGCCAAGTGGTAGTGACACATGCCTTTAATCCGACACTCAGAAAATGGTGATGGTTATACTGGCATTTGTGTTAAGGGTACAGTCAGGGAAGCCATGTGCTTAGCTTTAGAAAATTGCCCCAGGATTCCCTAGCAGATTGAAAATGCAGCCAACAGGGTGTTGGCAGCCTCCAGCCTCAGGTTTTCTGGCCATAGGAAAGTCACAAGGTTGGAGGATGACTTAGCCATCTTATCTGGGAAACAGGAACCCCTCCGATCTGCCCTTGATGGGATACTGTTGCTGTGCTAGGCACCAGGGTGGGATGGCACCTGACATTGCTGCCATCAGCTGGCAGGTGCCAAGGATTCTGCATGTCTCGTGGCAGACACAGGTGTCCATACACAGTCTATGCTAACATCAGGAGCCTAAGCAGAGTGGGCAGAATGCAAGTGGTGACATGTAACTAGAGTTTTCCTGCCTGGCCCACAGTCAGGACAAATCTCTCTCATCTGCCAGTCCCACAGCCGCTCAGACCCTAACAAGTAAACACAGAGACTTATATTGGTTACAAACTGTATGGCCATGGCAGGCTTCTTGCTAACTGTTCTTACAGCTTAAATTAATCCATTTCTATAAATCTATACCTTGCCACATGGCTCATGGCTTACCGGCATCTTCTCATGCTGTTTGTCATCGTGGCGGCTGGCAGTGTCTCTGACTCAACCTTCTACTTCCCACCTTTATTCTCCTCCTTGTCCTGCCTACATTTCCTGCCTAGCCACTGGCCAATCAGTGTTTTATTTATTGACCAATCAGCAACACACTTGACATACAGACCATCCCACAGCAGTGACACCCTGATCCTTGCTTCCTCATGCACCCCTGGCTTCAGGAGCATGTTCAGACCCACCTGGGCATCCAGGATGGCATTCTGCTCCTGGTCTTTCTGCTGGAGCAGCAGCTGGTGCTGCATCTCCAGCTCCCGTCCTGTAGCCTCTCCTCACAGCACATGACTGCCAAGTCCTTCTCATCCTTCTCCAGCAGAATCATGTTCTCTTTCATCTGTGGGTGCAAGACCAACTCAGGTGGGTTGGAGAGATGACAGAAGACACGCTGGTGCTCATGAGGTGCAGCTAAGCTACTCACACAGACAGCAGTGTCAGCAGCATCTGTGACTCCATCATGTCCATGGTCTGCTGCAGATCCTGCAGGGCCCAGCTGTTCAGTTCTCAGTAAGCCATGTTCACCCGGCTCTTCCGGGTATGGCAGAACCCCCAACCTCTGTGTACTTTATAGGTTCAAATGGAAATAGTGTCAGAGGGGTTGGGGGTGGAGCCAGGTCTATTCTTGCCTGAGAATTGTATGGGTATCCCCTACCCCACTCAGTATATGAACACACTCACCTGAGCAGGTCTCATGGGCACCACAGTCCTGGCCTCTGTCCTAGAGGAGGACTGGCTGCCTCTGACCTGAAGCCTTAGGGGCTGAGAGTCAGAACTCCCCACTGCCCAATATCTCTGTATCACCTGTCTCTTCTTGTAAAGGGTTCTCTTTCTCTGAGGGGTGGTAAAGGACTTGAAGTTGGCTTTCTTTGACATTGTCTTGTCTAGCTGGGGAGCCTCCCTGAACATGCTTTTGTCTAAAATAGACCCATTTTATTTATTTAAAGAAGAGTCTTTCACTTGGTTTTTGGAGATGTAGTCTAGGTTGGCCTAAGACTCAATCTTCCTGCCCCCGCTTGGGGCTTCAGGCTTGTGCCACCATAAGTGACCAAGAACATAACAGGTGCCTCTTGACTCATGACTCAGACTGTCACAAGAGGAAGATGTCACCCTCAACCCCAGCACCCAGGCCCTCATGCCCTTTACAACAGAAGCACTGCCTGGGACCTGTTCCTGCTGCTGTCACTCTGCCTGGGACCTGTACTTGCTACCTCCATCCTGCCTGGGACCTGCACCTGCTGATGCCACCGACCTGGGACCCACACCTGCTGCTGTCATCCCACCTGGGACCCACACCTGTTACCACCACCCAGCCTGTGACCTGTACTTGGTACAGTCACCCTGCCTAGGACCTGTACTTGGTACAGTCACACAGCCTGGGACCTGCCACCCCACCAGGCAGGAGGGAACTGACCCACACTGCCAGTTGAGAACACACTGGGACCCACAATCCTAGGCCTGGTGTGTATGAAAGGCACAGATTCTTCTCACAGCAGTGAGTCAAACTGGCAACAAGGGCTTTCTAAGGCTGTGGACCATCCTTACAAGCTCAGCTGCTGAGGGGCTAAAAGAAACCACTTACCATTGATGGCTGAAAGGTCTAGGTCAGGTGGAGCTGTGCTGTGCCCATCCAGCATGGTGGACTGCAGGTTTCCTCTTCCCATCATCACCTGACTGTCTTCTGCCCAAAGAATGCCACTGTCAGTGCCATTGGGCCTGCACCTCTTGGTACAGTACTGCTTGGGGCCCCCAGGACTGTTTCTTCCAGGGTGTGTGGGTGCTGGACTCTTGTGCCTGTGAGCCCCGTGGCTGAGGTGAGGGGCAGCTCCTCAATTCTCTTGTCCTTGTGCGCAGACTTACAGAAGCATGAGCTAAATAAGCCTCTTTAAGTGTCTTGTTTTTTAGGAAGTTATTTACTGTGGTGAGTGAGACTGTTGTGGGCTGAGGTCCTTCTAGGCTGGTCCTAGGGACTGAACTCAGGGAACCAGGCATGCAGCCAGTGCCTTTACTGGCTGAGCCATCTCACGGGGTGGGAGTTGAGTGGGTAGGGGGAATCTTTTTATTTCTTTAAGATCTATTTTTTTTGCCAGGTGGTGGCACACACCTTTAATACTAGCACTTGGGAGCCAGAGGCAGGCAGATCTCTATGAGTTCAAGGCCAGCCTGGTCTATGGAGCTAGTTTCAGAATAGCCAGGTATACACAGAGAAAAGCTGTCGTGAAAAACAAACAAGCAAGCAAACAAACAAATGAAGACTTGCCCTTCTGTTTTTTCTAAGATTTTATTATTAGATATACAGAGTTCTGCCTGCATGTATCACTACAGGCCAAAAAGGGCACCAGATCTCATTATAGATGGTTTTGAGCTGCCATGTGGGTTCTACAAGTTGAACTCAGGTCCTCTGGAAGAGCAGCCAGTGCTCTTAATTTCTGAGCCATCTCTCCAGCCTTCTAAGATCTGCTGAGCCTTCTCTCTAGCCCCAACAAATTCTTTCTCAGAAGAGCAAATTACTGCCAAGCATAATTTAGTGGCCCACACCTTTACTTTTAGAGGACTCAGGAGGCAAAGGCAGTTGGATCTCTATGGGTTACAGGACAGCCAGGGCCACACAGTGAGACCTTGTCTCAAAAACAAACAACAAACCCTGTCAACTCCCCAGGCACAGGCATTGTAAACAGACTAAAGGGACCATGGGTGCCATTAGGCTAAGTGTTTCTTCTTTGTGGTGCTGAAGATGGAGCCCTGCTGAGCAAGTCTTGGGATGATCATAACCCACAAACCACAACTTATAATTCCTAGAGATAAACATAAATCTGTTCAAAGTGGTGACCTATCAGAGAGGTAGAGAGGGGCTCTATTTTACTGCTTTTACAACCGTGCTATGCAGGGGAACAGTTAAGAAATTTCACAGTACCATAGGAGCTACTGACTTCTGGAGCTATGAAGTTAGTAGTTCCTGTGCTCAAGGCCCAACCCAGCACTCAGGAATTCAGAGCTATCCTCAGATGCAAGGCAACTTCTGGGCCAGTCTGGGCTACATGAGACCCTGTATCAAAACAACAACAAACAAACAAAAAACAAAACAAAAACAATAGCCAAAAAACACTGGGATGTGTTGGCTGGCTCAGCCCATAAAGGCGCTTCCTTGCCTGGTAAGCCTGATGATGGACTCAATCTGGGGAATGCACAGGAATCTGGAAGGAGAGAAGAACTCCACAGAGCTGTCCTCTGATGCCACATGTGCCAAGGTGCCAGGAACAACTACCTATGATGACACAATGAAATAAAATAAAATAGTTCCTCAGCTTTGATACTGCTGACCTCTGGGCTAGTCAGGGCCTATCCAGGGTTGCTGTGTGTACCAAGGGCTCAACTAGCAGCTGTAGTTCCATCCATCAATGACAGAAATCCAAATAACATGTCTGCATACATCCCTAACCAGTCATCGTCATTGTTAGATGAGCACTCTGTTTAATCCAGACAGGTCCTGGCCCCTGACTGGCCCAGCTTCAATCACAGCCCTCACTCAGTGACATAAGAAAATCCTAGACTCATGCGCTGCTCTCATCCCCACCTGGAGAATTTTTTGTTGCTTTTTTTTTTTTTGAGGTAGGGTCTCATGTGGCCCAGACTGGATTAAATCTCTCCAGTGTGGCCAAGGATGACTTTGAACTCCTGATCTTCCTATCTCCAACTCCTAAATGCCCAGATGTCAGGCACCCAGCGGGCTCTAATTTCTGCAGAGCCCCTAAACCAACAGAATGCAGTAGTCAATCCCCACCTGGTCCCTGGTTCTGCAAGTAGTTCCTTGGACATATGGCTGTGCCCTCAGACACACTGCCCCATGCTCCCGTCACAAACACTTGAATCATATCCTTTCTGACAGAGACCCCTTGATGGTCAGTTTTCATTGCCCACCTGACACTATCTAGGATCACCTGGGAAGTGAGGGGTTGTCTGGATCAGGCTGGACTGTGGGCATGTCTGTGAGAGGTTGTCTTGATTGCTCTGGGGGAGGCCTGGCAGCTCCTTCTCTGATGCCAGAATGCCAACCCCCAAGCCCCAGCCAGGCCCTGCCTTTGGTCCTTGGCAATGCGCTGGTCCTTCCTTCAGGTGGCTTTCCAGCAGCTGGTACAGAAACCTGTTATGGAACAGTCAGAGATCAAGCCACTTGACCTTTGATGTATTTGCTTAGAGGTCAGAGAGAGATGCAGGAGTCTTGAAACTGTGTATACAGGACAAGCAGGATTTGTTTAACAGTCACATTCATCAGACATGGGAAATTAATGGCACATCTGCTGGACTGCCTTCAACACCCAGCCATCTCAATGGGCCTGTGCTCCTGTGTGCGGTGGAGGTGCTGGCAGCTGACTTCCTATGGCATTCTCAAGATGTGCTTGTTTTCTATACATATTGCTTTGGACTTAAGAGGACACCAAATTTCTACACTGGCATAAGTCTTCAAAGCTTACAAACAGCAACAGCACAACAAGCAACAGTGGATGCCAGGCTGCCAGTTATCCCAGGTAAAGCAAGAAGGAGCACGATGGGGGTGATGTTGTGGTTCCTGCCCTTCTCATTCACAACTGAATGAAACCCTCCCTAGGAAATAAACAGACAGCAGGGTGTGTACATGTAACGGTCTTATTAAATAAGAAACACAGAGCCAAATGCAGAGTTAAAAGCCCAAGAGGTCAGAGCAGTAGCTAAGAGCTGAGACTGAAACCGTCTTCTTACCCCTCGCTGCCCCTGCCATCCTTCCCCTGAGAAAGAGACCTATTTCCTGTGTGTCTGCCTTTTTATTGATTTTCTGTTCTGCCTTTTCATTGATTGTAAACCCAACCACGTGACCTTCTCGTCACTACCTGTCTGTACAGACCTCCAGGTCTTCTATGGTTGGTATTGAGATTAAAGGCATGTGTCTCCATGCTGGATGTATCCCTGAACACACAGAGATCTGCCTGTCATGTGATTGGGATTAAGGGCGTGTGCTACCACTGCCAGACTTCTGCTAGGGCTTGCTATTAGCTCTGACCCCCAGGCAACTTTATTTATTAACATACAAATAAAATCACATTTCAGCACAAATAAAATATCACCATAAGGGTGGAAGAGGAAAACTAAAACCTACTCCTTGCAGAAACTACCCAAGCAACCACAGAGCTCCCTGAGGTCTAGGAAAAGGTCTGTGTGAGGACTAAAGTCATGCCACCATGTTGGATCATGTTTTTCTTTTAAAAAAAGAAGGAAAAAGAAGATTTACTTTATGTGTACAAGGTATTGCCTGCATGTGTGTATGTACACCATCATACTAACATTAGCTAGATCAGTGTTACATCAAATGCAGAAGACAAAAATAATTAAATCTCAATTATAACAGAGCTAATGGGGGGGGGCTGAAGAGATGGCTCAGTGGCTAAAAGCACTGGCTGCTCTTGCAGAAGACCCAGGTTCAGTTTCTGATGGCTCATGGCAGCCTGTAACTCCAGTTCCAGGGGCATTGCTGTGAACTTCATAGGCACCAAGCATGCACATGGCGCACAGACACACATCAGGCAAAACACTTGGACACATAAACTAAGTAAATAAAAATATGGGGCTAGCAGATCTATAATTCAGTGATTTCTGTCTCAGTGGCTTTGGTTATCACTTCTCTCTCCTGACAATTCAGCCCTAATGGCTTCTACGATATCACCTAGCTCCATAGGGCATGAACTGGTAGACACAGTAGGCCAAGGTTCCCAAAGCAATCTGCACCTCACTTTTACACCTTCAGCATGGTTGTTCCTAAGTGTGCAGAGTTGGAAGGGTACAGGTCCAAAGCCATAGTCAAATCTATTACTGTCCTCAGTATACAACATAAGGGATTTTTGTTTTTGATTTTCTGAGACAGGGTTTCTCTGTGTAACAGCCTGGCTGTCCTGGAACTCGATCTGTAGTTCAGGCTGGCTTTGAACTCAGAGATCTGCCTGCCTCTGCCTCCTGAGTGCTTGGGGCTGTAACTCCATGGTAAGTATCTGCCCAGTGCTGAGTTCCTGCGTTCCATTCCCAGTGCTGAAAAAAAAAAACAAAAACAAAACCCCAAAACTCTAGTGCTGTGTACACGGAGTGTGCCATCATGCCAGCCTTGTGTCTTCTAAGAGTGACAGACATTGCATTTAGGGCTTGTTCCAATTTCCTACGATATGTACTCTACTCTCAGTTTCTGTCAAGATCCTCATCCCAAGTAACCAAGGCTCTCAGTGGGTGTGGATGCCAGCAAGCAGCCCAGACAACTTCCTGCCTGGCCAATGGTGCCCTCTATGCGGGCTTACATTGAGAGTTCTGGCTAGAAGTTTCAGACTCCTGCTTTGCTCCTAGCCTTGTGGCCTTTCAGCATCCTGGAATGTAGCCCTTCAGCAGTGTCTGGGCTTCTAGACACCCACAGTTCTCCTGGTTTTCCATGTTAGACTTTGGCTGGAGTCCAGTCAACCCATGGTACATTCCTGGGGCCACCTACACTGTTGTTATTTTCTTTATTATTTTCAGTGCTGGGAATGGAAACCAGGGCCTTCTGCAAGGTAGCCAAGTGCAGTAGCACTAAGCCAGGCCTGTAGCCCCCTTCTGGGGGATTCTAGGCAAGGACTCCACTGGCGATCCATACTGGCACCCAGCCACTCACTGTGAGGTTTTAGGCAGGGACTCCACCCATAAGCCACACTACCTCCACGTGGGAGAGGGAGTTCTGTGGTTGATATATTTGTACCTTAATAAACTTATCTGAGGGTCAGAGAACAGAACAGCCAACAGATTAGACATAGAGGCCAGAAATGGTGGTACACACACCTCTAATCCTATCACTTGGGAGGCAGAGATCCATGTGGATCTCTGTGAGTTCAAGGCCACACTGGAAACAGCCAGGCATGGTGACACACACCTTTAATCCCAGCACTTGAGATCTCATGTCTTGCTTGGGAAAGACACACGCCTTTAATCCCAGGAAGTGATGACAGGAAACAGGAAGGTATATAAAGTGTGAGGACCAGGAACTAGAGCCTTTTCAGCTTTTAGGCCTTTAGCAGCAGTTCAGCTGAGATCCATTCCGAGGACTTACAAGCTTCAGTCTGAAGATTCGTGGAAACAGGATCTGATCAGGAGTTGTCGAGGAAACAATTACTCTTTGTAAGAAATCACAGTAGAACGAAAATTTACAATATCTACGTTTATTTCCTAGTGTGTTATTAAATGGAACTTTGTGTCATCATAACACAGTAGAAGCAGCGACGGTCGGATAACCGTTTGTGAGGATGACACGGCACGGTAAGAACTGTACTGCAGGGGCTGTCTACACCTACCATGAGAAGAAGAGGGACTCAGCGGCCTCAGGCTATGGGACCCAGAACATCCGACTGAGCCGGGACGCCGTGAAGGACTTTGACTGCTGCTGTCTCTCACTGCAGCCCTGCCATGATCCTGTGGTCACCCCAGATGGCTACCTGTACGAACGGGAGGCGATCCTGGAGTACATCCTACACCAGAAGAAAGAGATTGCCCGGCAGATGAAGGCCTATGAGAAGCAGCGAGCAGCCCAGAGGGAAGAGCAGAAACAGCTTCAGCAAGCTGCAGCCCAGGACCAAGTTCGAGGCTTCCTGGAGAAGGAGGCAGCCATCGTGAGCCGGCCCCTCAACCCCTTCATGCCCAAAGCTGCCACCTTACCCAACACAGATGGTGAGCAGTCAGGACCCAGGGCGGGTCCCCCAGACAAGGACAAGAACAAAGCGCTGCCCAGCTTCTGGATTCCCTCACTGACGCCTGAGGCAAAGGCCACCAAGCTGGAAAAACCATCTCGAACTGTGACCTGCCCGATGTCTGGGAAGCCTCTAAGCATGTCGGACCTGACGCCAGTGCGCTTCACGCAGCTGGGCGACTCTGGAGACCGTGTGGGACTCATCACACGCAGTGAGCGCTACGTGTGTGCTGTGACCCGAGACAGCCTGAGCAATGCCACACCATGTGCAGTGCTGCGGCCCTCTGGGGCTGTGGTCACCCTGGAGTGTGTAGAGAAACTGATCCGGAAGGACATGGTGGACCCGGTGAACGGGGATCCGCTGACAGAACGTGATATCATCGTGCTGCAGCGCGGCGGTACAGGCTTCTCAGGCTCAGGAGTGAAGCTGCAGGTAGAGCTGTCTCGGCCAGTGATGTAAGCCTGAGCTGTGACCTAATAAACCTGCCTGTGAATGGGAAAAAAAGAAATACATTTTAATGCCAGGTGGTGGTAGAGCATGCCTCTAATCTCAGCACTTGGTCGGACAGGCAGATCTCTGTGAGTTCAAGGCCAGCCTGGGCTACAGAGCCAGTTCCAAGAAAACTAGAGCTGTTGTTCCACACAAGTTAAAGTTCATCAACACAGTAATGTCGTTAAGAACCAGGAATGGAAGTAGTCATAAGAAGATCCTGGCTTCTTCTGGGCATTTGAGTTGTTCTTCTCCTCAGGAAGGACATCTTACAAAACCTAAGGATTTCATAAGAATCTAATGGATGGATCTTAAGACTCTCCAAGATTTTCATTGCCAAAGGGCAAATACTGGAATTATCTGGAAACATAAGCTCCAGAGAACAGCAAGGACCCCATTGGTAAATGATTATCAGGAATAGAAGTGGCCAAGATGAGAAGATTTTAATCTTTCATTTCATTTATCTATCTGTCTATCTATCTATCTATCTATCTATCTGTCTATCTTGTCCTCTTTCTTTTTGTTTTAAGTCTAGCTACCCAGGCTGATCTCAAACTTAAGTATTTCTTTCTTCTATGTGTGCTACTGTGCTTGGCACAGAAGATTACATACCCTGAAGCGTGTCTGAAACCTGTTAAATAAATCTCCTCAAAAGTGAGTACTGACATAATTCAATTCACTCTCTCTATATATAACTAAATTTACCACCCCCCCACCCCCCCACCCCCGTGCACCCCATGCTTACCTTGCACTGGTTGATTGGGCATTTCACATCTAAAAACATCTGAAATACGAAATGCTGTGAAATCTGAGACTGTTGATCCCAAGCATTTCATAAAAGGGACATTCAGCTTGCAATTAGCATATAATTAACAATTAACAATGGCGGTCATTTGCTGTTAGAACTCTTAATGCTCTTCACAAGCACAAAGAAGGAAGGTGGCCAACTGTAACAATTCTCATCTCACCATCTGAAATGAAAGCTGGGAGGTTGAGTGAATGCCTGAGAACAAGGCTAGCAAAGCCCTGGCTCTGGACACCCTGCCTTACCTCCAGGCTCTGAGTTCTGTGCCATCAATCACACTGTGCTGCCTTCATAAGACCCAGTGACCTTGACCTCACCTTGAGTTCAAAGCATTTTTGTATACTTGCTCTAGTTAGCTCCTGGGCCTTAATGGATTCTTTGGAAAGATGCTGGATTTTTGTTTGGCCTCAGTTTCTGACTGTGCACCCTGCAAGTCATCTGACAAAAACATTTGTTTTAGAGGCAAGTGTTAGTACTGCATTATAATCTCTGTAACTAGAGTCTGGTGGTCTTTTTCATGTTTAGACATAGGCAGCTAATAACAGAGCACAACTGAGTTAAATAAATTTAGAAGCATATTTGTTATTTTTAATCTTAATACAAAGTTAACACAGATTTTGGGTTTATAAAATATAGAAATCAACATAATTTTTATTGACATACAGCTCCAGTAACACTTAAAATTCTGTGAGAAAGGCATAACAATATTCTCCATCAATTTTAAATGAGATTTATTATTGCTATTATTATTTCTGTGCACTTGTGTGACATGCATGTGCAGTACATGTATAGAGGTCAGAAACTAATGTAAGGGATTGGTACTCTGCCCCCAAAATGTGGGTCCCAGGGACTGAATTCAGATCATCAGGCTTGGTGGCGAGTGCCTAATTTACCAGCTGAACCATCTTGTCAGCTCTTCTATCAAGTCTGAAATTCAACAATAAGGCATAAAAACTTTCCTTGGAACTTAAATAAAATTGGGGAAAAGAGTTCTTTAAGAAACTGTTTGAGGACTAGCAATGCTCATTGGGAAGAGGCATTTCCAAGCAGACCAGAGAATTTATGTTCAACCCTGGAATCCCACAAGGTAGCAGGATGGAACATGTTGTACCTTGAGTCCCCCAAGAGACCAAATTCTGCAAAATCTTTTTATTGCTGCCAGTTATCTTGGGCGTCTCCATCCATCTGATGCAACAGAGCAGGAGAGACCCTGAGTAGCACTCAAGCAGGGTTTTTCTAATGGTTAGGGTAGGAGATCTAGGAGAATTCCAACTCTATATCATTACAAGCTCAAGACTGGTGCTTACGTCAGGTTAGAGATGCTTGGTTTGAACTGATTGGAGAGTTGCAACTGAAAGGAAATTGCCCTATCCTCTAGCAATCTATGTTACTGTATCCATTTGACCAGCAGATCCATTTCCTCTGATAGTTAGGCATCCCATTTTTATCTGCAGGAAACTCATTCCCTATGACAGCTATGGTATACAATCTATAACAGCAGAAAACATCTCAGAGGACATATCTGGTGCTTTGTTTATTATGCCAGTTATGTTACAGCATATCCTTTCGGTTTGGCAGGAAATGCCTGGTGTGCAGCTCCTAACTGTCTAGGGGTGAAGGGGCAGCAGATCATCTGGTGGGTTTTTAGGAACAACTTTCCAAGGGCCTGTTGCCCCATCTGACCCTTCTCTAAGATGGCTGCAGCCCTGGCATCCTCTCAGAAAGACTTCCAAAGAGTTGTCCTCTTACTCCACACGCACACCTCTCCCTACCCCACACCCACAGACACATGCACTAAATTAAGTAATTGGTGAGGTGATGAATAAAAACGAAAGCGAGGTGATACTGAGTACCTTTCAGCAGGTCCTGCCAAGGTATGCCACTAAGCAACACACAGCACCAGCAACAGTTAGTGCAAAGAGGTTCACTGGGGAATGGTGAGTGGAAGTGTGAAGGGCTGTGTGGGAGTGGGGACTTGAGAGGGACAGAATGACAAGAGGAAGAAGAGACGCAAGAGAGAAAAGAAGAGACAACAGAGGAGAAGCAAAGAGATGTGAAAAAGGCAGAGATGGAAAGGGAATGAGCTGTGCCTGGCGGGCATTTTTAAGGCTGTACGTGCGGCAGAGCTGAGGGTGGAAAGAACCCGATGACAAGTGATGACGTAACTGCTGTGGTGGCAGCAGCAGATGCAGGCTGCTGCGGCGTGGCAGAAACTAACAATTGGGGTGTGTGTCAAACACTGCGTCCTGCCTCTGCCTCCCTAATGCTAGGAATAAAGACACGCACCACCACACCTCATGATATGGATTGTTTTTGATGTCTAAATAGGAGCTGATGAAAACATTTTCATATCTTTGTTCCTCAATCATCTTCATTGTTTCTATCTTGCACATGGTCCATATCATGATAAAGTAACCACAGCTATATACCATAGGACCTTCTGACTACAAAATAGAGGGAGATAATAAAAGTGTTATAAATATGGGGAGTTGTTTTTGTTCTATTAAAATAAATTGCATAATGAGGAGCAAACAATGAATGAGAACTATGAAGTATATCCCATCAAACTCATTTTTTCCCCTGTGGTTCGACTCCATCTCTTTTGCTACAACCATTAAAATAGCTCCACACTACCACTTTAAGAATTTTGACAAGTATATACACATTCACATTTTTTTATCGTTAATCTGCCTTAGCATTTTTGTTTCATTACTGCTCTAGGATATACCATTTGGGTAGGTTTTAGAATTTTTTTAACGTAGGCAGCATATAAAAGCAGCAAACTTGCTGGATTCACTGTGGGCACAGTGAGTGCTTGCAGGGGTTTTCTCGGTGCAGCCTGCCCTGTGTGGATGCTGCTGCACGTGGAAGCTATTGCCCAGAAGGAAATGTGTTTGGTTTTCACAAGCCAAAGGTGCACTGAAGAACAGAGGACTGCTGTATCTGCAGAGCCAAGTCTTCCAGCTCTTGGTTCATGGACAGTAAACATTACAAAAAGGATTTTCAGAGCTCTTTTGGGTTGCACATGACATCTGCAGTGTCTGTGTGTTGCTTGTGGAAAGATGGAAGAAGTTGCCAGCTGATCCAGAAAAACAAAGCAAAACAAAAAACAAAAACAAAATAACAACAAAAAAACAACAAAACTGGAATCATGTGGTAGATGCAAGGGCAGGACCCAGTCTAAAGGCAACATTTAAAACAAAAAAAAAAGTGAGAACTCTATCTGGAAACAGGATGAAAAGCAATCACATGAGTAAACTGTGGAAGGAATTTAAACACCACAATCCTGATGCTCATAGCACCTCAAGTGCCTCTCCAGCCCAGTCTCTGCTTCAGTAACCAGTCAGATCAAGGTTCAGATACAGAGATGGCTTCCAGCTCTAAGAGGACTCCAGTTTTTCCTTTTTAGATATTACCTACTGGAAAAGACAGAAAATACATTGTGGGATCATCTCTAAGGGCAGTTTTGGCAGAGTTCTCATTGACAACCATCTCTTCAAGCCTTGCTGCAGCAGAAAGAAAGCAGCTGCTGTGAAGCCTGAGGAGGAGGGGCTGGCACCTCTGCCCATCTCCACTCAGGAGTAGTGACTGAGGTAAGTAGAAGGGAACAAAGATTGATTTCAACTTTGAAAAGACCACAAAGTAACAAACTGACCCTCCTATTTTTAACTTGGATACCTATTATTCTGCCAAAAGACATTTTATATAACAGTTTTAATGTGTTACCCATTCCCCATACAACAAACTCAGAAGCCAGTGTCTAGCTTACTGCAAGAAAAAAAAGTATACATAATATTTAAGATGCTGAGTATTTCATTGGAAAGCTGAATGGTGTTGTAAAGTACTATTTAAGTGTTTTTGCTTGTTTAATACCTCCAAATGAATGAAATTAGGGGATTTCAGGGGCCAGAGGTGCCATTGTTCTATGATAAACCATATGTAGTTTAGTCTTTCTGTGGAAAGGTTGTGGTTGAGGCATTTAAAAATGTCTGGCTACACTTATTTTTCCTCATGATAATTTGTCATAATTCAGTAGCATGGCCTGCCTCTAGAGACAGCTAAAAATTTTGGAATGCTTCAGCATTACCAAACTTCTGATGATTCAGACCTGTACTACTGACTATTAAGCATGGGAGACTGAGATTTCTCCAACTAGCTTGGAGGAGGAAGCAATTTCTGAACACACAGGTAGCATCGTGTCACCTCCCTTCATCTTAATATTTGATAAGAAGACTTTATGTGAATCTTCTAAAACAGAACCAGAGCTCCTTTGGGCAGGAGGATGGGCAAGGTCCTATACAGATAGTATCAAAACATCACCATACAGTAGAGAACACGTGGTTAGAAACCACTTATTAGAATGTGTAAGTCCTGGGGATGCACGGAGCATAGCTGATGCTGCTTGAGGGACATTTCTTAGAGAACTTGCAGTGTATAAATAATTGACATTGCTGCTACATGACTGTCTGTGACTCACTGAAATCTGTATGATTCAGTTCTATCTCTGGATTTCCTCAGTTGACCTTTGTGGAGGTTTTATCTATAGAGTAGCCCTTTGCCTTGTCTTGACCTTATTAGGATTTAGGCTTTTGTTGCTTTTCTCCCACTATTTAAAGTAGGCTAAAGAGAAGAGTTGTATATTGAGATTGAATTGGTTAGTTGAGTTGGTTTCTTGGAGTTGGGCTTCTGAACATCCAGGTAGCTGAATGGAATGCCTCACATTAAGATCTCAGAGAGGGTTTCTCCGTAGAACACTCCTGAAGCTGTCCAATGGCTTCTTCTCAAAATTCAGGAAAAAACAATACTGCCATGTCAGACATCTAGAGGGAAGGGTACATGTTGACTTAGTATTCTGACACTCATGATTATTTTGAAAACTGGATTGTTAAAGTCTGTTAGTGTTTCACAACAAGGAGAGCCACAGTTTTTATGACAACCTTTAGTTTTATAGTTTTACCTTGTGTGCTTCTCCCTTTTGTGAAAAACCTATCTAGTACAAGCCACCATATGCACAGAGTGCCCAATGATTGAGCATTTCTATTTCTGCATTTATATATTTATTATTAGACCTCAACTACAGTCTTCTCCCACTCAACTCTCTGCCTGTAAACATACTGTATTTAGGCATGCACTTTGTATTAATATACTAACTCTACAAATATGTCTTAAACTTTTTATACTCTTGGATAGTTATTATCAAAACCATTACTGTAGGGTATTGAATACATTTAGTTTTATTAGAAAAAATAAAATAAACAAACTTGATATTTGATGCCAAAGTAGGATACTGAATTCTGATGTAGCCTGAGAAAAATCTATTTAAAAGTAAAAGTAGATGAAGTAGCCAGGCGGTAGTGGCGCACGCCTTTAATCCCAGCACTCGGGAGGCAGAGCCAGACAGATCTCTGTGAGTTCAAGGCCAGCCTGGGCTACCAAGTGAGTTCCAGGAAAGGCGCAAAGCTACACCGAGATACCCTGTCTTGAAAAAAAAATAGCTGAAGCTTTTCATCTGCCAAGTAGCATTAAGTTAGTTGGTAATACTTACCTATTTTACTTTAATGTATACTTGTGTGTGAATGTTTTGCTTGCATGTATATCTGAGTACCAGAGGCATGCTTGGTACGGAGGTCAGAAGAAGTCATTGGGTCCTCTGGAATTAGAATTTCAAATGGATATGAGCCCCCTTATGTGTGCTGGGAACCAAACCCAAATGCTCTTAACTACTGAACTATCTCCACAAGCCCCAAACTCATACTTCTTAAATTTAGCAGATGGAATTGGTATTCTGAGTAACCTATCTGAGACAGCCTTATGGAATTTTATGAAATGTTTTGTGTCATAAACCAACGGGAAACACCATTTCAGAGATTGGAATGAATCCTTCAGGCTTTGTTCACAATATTCCTAATGGAAGCAGATGACAGTGCCAGAGCAGGTCATTACTCTACGTCTCCCCAATGCAACAGTCATGCTAAAGGAGTGAGAGGTCAGAAGGCATCTCCAGTGTTCACACTTGCAGCTCAGCAGTTCCCCTCTGCTGTGGGTAGTGGTAAACTTTGTTCATGCATTTCAAGGCCACTTTCACTGTTTTGCTATCCCAGAACCACAATGGGCAATTGTGAAAGGGCATGTGGAAAGGACTAATGTAGTGCAGAAGGGAGATTCCTTTCTTTCCAGAAGCTCATCATTGTTACATTCTCTAAATCTGGCTGTTAACATAAAGGCTAGGTCATGAAGACTGGCGTAGACCATGCCATCCACATTCAAGGTGTCAACCCCCTATGTAGCCCTGGTTAGATGGGAATTCACTTTGTAGCCAAGGCTCCTGGAACTTGCAGAGATTCATCTCTGCCTCTGAGTTCTGAAGTTACAGGAGTGCAACACCATGCCTGAATAAAGAAGAGTTGTAAAAGTAAAGAGTTGGAAATTGCTTTTTTATTCATAAAAAGTCTTCAGTGGGGACTTTTAAAAGGCAGTCAGTAAATGCAGTGTATATATTTACCAACTATTAAAACACTGACAAGAATAAAAGAATTAACAAAAAATAACAAAATTTCTAACTAAACTAAACTAAAAACACCAAGCAAACAAAACCCCAGCAAAGAAAAGACCCCTCCAAAAACTTAAGCTACAAATGTTCTTCTACTCTAGACTCAACGAATCAATGGAGTACATTTGGCTTTCCAAAGCACCAAAGATGACTCAGACCTCCTCTATAAGTTCTTTCTCAGGACCAGTCATGCCAGTCCAGGCTGTGACACTGGAGAATCCCTAGTCATTTTCTTGATGGAAGATCCGATGACTGACTAACATAGGTGTGAGGGAGTGCTGTAGTATCTGCAGTGCGTCATCTTCAGCAACACTTTCACGTGACATGGAGTTGGCTTCAGCATTGCCCTGGGGAGGGAATCCTATTCTTCTCCATGTGGTATGTATAGATAACAGCATGACAGCCATGCAGGCTTTCTTGTCAGATTTCTCACCACATGTGGAGGACTCAGACAGCTTACTAAAGACATGGAGAGTAAACCGACAGAGTAACTCTGGTTCACCAACATACCCTCCCCATGCTGCTGTGTCCCGTTTGAGGGCCACTTGTTAATAGATGTCTGGGTTCTGAGTAGTCTTGGCAGGTCCTCTGTAGCTCAAGCTTCTTTCTGATGATTTATTTTCTCCTGGAATAATGCACCAACATTATTTGGTAGGTTGCTGGTAGGTTGGGATTTTCCTCACTGGTTAGTTCACAGCTACAAGATGTCTTTTGTTGAGGAGGTGTTGATGCTAGAGTGGAGTTTTCTTAAGTGGTGCTGTCAGAGAAAGAATGGCAATTATTCCTATAAGCATCCTATCTCTGCCATGGCCTAGACAAAACCAGGGCCTATTCACTCACAGGACACCAATGTGAAGGAAGAAAGACCACCCCACGAATGCCATGGTTGCAGGGGATAGGAGTCAATGGTGGCTCTTTTGCCTGGTGCACTTAGTGTCCCTGCTGAAGCAGGTTTGTCTTCAGCAGGCTCTGACCCTGGGCTGTGGCCTGTTCTAGATCACGTTGGAGTTTTTTAGACCTAGGAGAGGAAGGCAGCTGAAACACAGGCCTGGTGGGGACCTGCCATGCCAGCATTTGACAATCAACTTTACCTTTCAGCTGAGCTTATTCCTTTCTTCCTAAAGAGAGAAGGGCCAGAGAGCAGCTGGCCCTGAATTTTTCTCAGCCTTTAAAAATTGCTAGAGATTGAACTGAAAATTATACACCGAAACTAAAAACAAAAACAAAAAACAAACAAAAAAAAAACCCAGCACATTTCTCCAAAAGTTCAGATACATTATTTTGAAAGAAAAATAGCAGCATAGCAATGTCAGAGTCACAGTTGAGGAGAGATATGCATGGCCTTGAACAGATGCCAGGCAACTCAGCAACCTTGGAACCGAACTGTATGAGGCCCTCTAGTGGTGTCTACACAACACTGCAGTGTGCAGGCTCTGTTTACGCCTTCAGCACAGAAAATTCCTTGGCTTCAACCTGTCAAACTCTAAACCTGCTTATTTCCAGAGAAACTTTCTCACAGCAAACAGATGCTCACTGCAGAAAACCTGTAATCAGTAAGAAGGGGCTCCATGCAAATCTGCACAAGGCAAGGACCTTACCTCTAAAGGTGCCATCCTGAAGGAAAATGAAGAGGCAGGAGGGCACACTGTCTTCCATCTAACACTCTCCCTGTTAGGTTTGGGGCTGCCATGGGAACATGTGTGGGGAGACATAAAGATCAATGAACTCAGGACATATGAGAGCTCAGAAATGAAGAGGGGGACACAATCTCTAAAATGATTAAGGATAATACGTATTTTTCCTGGACAGACATTTCTGTTGACTGAACCAGCTCATACACTCAGATGTTCTTTCCCTGGCTGTGACTGGAAGGCCATGTACATGGGCAGAAATCCAAATAGGAGAGAGATTCTGGTAGAGGGGAACTACTGAGTGCCACTCCCTCCTGGCCTGGGGTCCTACCTCATCTGGGAGACAGTGAAGTAATGCTGCAGCTTTTCTGCCAAGACCTTGTGCTTGGTGACCAGATCTCTCTGCTTCAGCAGGTATTGCAGTCTCTCCTCCAATCTTTCCTGTTTCTGTTTAGTAGAAGATTATGTTCTTAGTGCAGGGTTGAACACTCATATGCACACAGACACACACTCTCCTGAACACACACACTCTTGAACACACACATACAAGTGTGTACGCATACAAGCATACTACATTGCATTCACATGTTTAGTTTCCCAAATAATGCTAATATAAGAAAAGATCACCCAGGACATTTAAGAAGAAACTGAACATTCCTTAGATGGAAGAACACAGAGGGCAGGACAGATAGACAGATCAGTCAATGAAGTGCACAAACCTTGTAAACCCAGTGCACGAACAAATGGGCTCGTGGGGTGCTTGCCCTATAAGCCATGCCTGTTCATCAAGTTCCCCAGTCTGTGCACTAAGGGCTTGGATCCCCAGCACGGGACAATAGGATGGTGGTGAAGCTGCCAATAGCTTCACTCAGTGCTTCCCAGTGTCTCCAAGGTAAACAGCTTCCTCCAAAAGGAGCTCTCTAAACCACAGGCTGCCTCACTTCAGACACAAAGCAATGAGCCCAGGAAACTAGAAAATCCTCAACCAGGTGCCAATATAATCCTTTCCTCCCTGTAAGGTGATTGTGTCAGGGATTTGTTTGAATAAGAGAAGGCTGACTAAGTCACAAACAAATGATCGCATGTATTATTTCTTACTGAACAAGATTCCATGGAAAGCCCGGACCACATTGTACTTTTACACCCACAGATGATAGGTATCTGAATAGTTTTGACTTCAGGGCTGCTCTGAAGATGACTGCTACAACCCTGGTGTCAGCTAGTTTCTCTGTGAACAACTTATTTCCCATTCCAGAATCACTGGCTTACCTGGGGACTGCAGTTCAACTTTCTGAAAAATTGTACATAGCTTCTCATGGGGCTACACCATTTTACAACACCAGCAATGTCTGAGACTCTTTATTTCTCCTAACCCTCCATAAGGTCCATTTTAACTCAGACTTAACAACTTTGGAATAAAATCAGTTATAGAATGCTGCAGACACAGCAGAGGGTGAGTGCTTTAGACTATAATGAGCGTAAGTGGGGTGCACTGAGACAGCCCTATTTTCAAACCTCAGCATGGCTATGGGACTTCTGCTCTGCTGAGATGCAACCACAAGCACCCCTGCAATTCAGAATCTCTCAGAGAATAAAATTCAGGCCAAGCTTCAAGGCCAAGGTCAATGCAGCAATGGTGAGGCCAAGGTGGAAAGAAAATGGTAGCAGGCAATAAGACTGAGAATAAAGCTTTCTCAGTGGGGAACACTCCTCCATTTCTGGTGGGACTACAAACTTGTACAGCCTCGGTGGAATCAATATGGTGGCTCCTCAGAAAATTGGGAATTGATCTACCTCAAGACCCAGGTATACCATTCTTGGACATGTAACCAAAGGATGCTCTATCCTACCACAAGGACACTTGCTCAAATATGTTCATTGTGGCTTTATTCATAATAACTTCAAACTGGAATCAACCTAGATGTCCCTCAATGGACGAATGAATAAAGAACATGTAGTACATTTACACAAGGGAGTATTACCCAGGTGTTTAAAAAATGACATCCAACTGGCATTGCAAGCAAATGGGTGGAACTAGAAATAAACATCCTATGGGAGATAACCTAGACCCAGAAAGACAAGTATAATTTGTATTCACTTGTAAGTATATTATCAGTTGTTAGGTAAAGGATAATCAAGCTACATTCCACAGATACAAAGTAGTTAGATGAAGAGATGTCTCTAGAGGAAACACATGGGTCTCCCTGGGAAGGAAAAATAGAACATATTTTTCAGGGGGACTTGGAGTTAGTGGGGGCAGGATTAGAAGGGATCATGTATTAGGGGGAAGGGATAGAGGGAGGGAGTATGGGGAGAGACAGCTGGAGTTGGGGGCCTTTAGAGCGTGTTGTGGAAAGCTAGTGCAGAGAAAACTTCCTGCAACCTACATGGGTGATCCTAGTGAGTATTCCTAGTAATGGAGCATACAGAGTCTGAACTGACCATCTTCTGTAGCCAGGCAAGGCTACAGGTGAGACTGGATTGCAGTCAGTCGAACTGTTGGGAAGCGGATTCTGTGGAGATCCCTAAACAACCCATATTGATGCTAGGACAAAGTGCTCCTCTCTGAAAACTGACAGTGGGGTACCATTGTTGTGGGCAACATCTACACAGTTCATTGAACATACATGGAGAGATCAAGCTGTTGCCTTCATGGAGCTCTCACCCCTATCTTCTATTCTGTTTGGCCTGGAAAGGTACTCTGCAGGCTACAGAAAGAGAAACATGGACACCAACCAAGCCACAAAAACCTCAACATATAGTCTGTCCTCCCTGCAAGATGTTCTGGGGCTATGTTGGCACAGAACTTGACAGAGTGGCCATACAATGTCTGGTTTAACTTGAGGCCCATGGAAGGAAAAGCAGTCCATGCCCTACACTGCCAGCAAGGTCAGGAATTGGAGACCAAATAGCCCACAGACCTAGGGTAGAACCAAATGTAACTAAAAAAAAACAATAAAATGATTGCTAATATTCTTAATGATATTCTGCTATACTCATAGATTGGTGTCTTGCCAGTTGTCATCTTCTAGAGAGGTTTCTTCTAGCAGCAGATGGGTGCAGAGACCCACAGCCAGTCATTGTGTGGAAGTGGGAATCTAAATCGAAACTCTCTATTAGGTCACATGGCCCAGTGAATCATCTAAGCAGAGCTCACATGAACTCACACAGACTGATGCAGCAAACATGGAGTGTGCATGTGTCTGCACCAGCTTCTCTGCGTATATGTTGGAGTTTTGATAGGACACCTAAAAGTAGGAGTGGGTTTGTCTCTGATTCTTTTGCCTCCTCTCTGACATCTTTCCTCCTATTGGATTGCTTTGTCCAGTCTATATGATGGCTTTTGTCTTGTCTTATTTTTGTTTTGTCTTATCTTGTTTTGTCATGTTTGGCTGTTATCTCTTGGAGGCCTGTTCTTTTCTGAAAAGAAGCCAAGGGGGAGCAGATCTGAGGAAGAGGGGAGGTTTGTGGGTACTGGGAGGAGTGGAGGGAGGGGAAACTATGGTTGGGAACTATTGTATGAGAGAATGATCTATTTTCAGTAAAAAATAAATGAAATATTCACTCAATAAAAATAAAAATAAATTGTTTAATAGTTATAACACTCTAAAATAGTTATTAACTATGTAGTATCTACCGAAAGGAAAGCTTAAAATTTCCTTCCACTAAAATATTAACAAGGTGCTGAAATTCCTATGATTTGATGGCATATAATCATTTTCATATATAGCAGTGAGTTGCAGGCTGTGAATAATGGGCAGGAGGTAAGATTGCCTTTCCTGTGGAGACTGAATTTCGGGGACAAATCAATAGGAGGGTTTGGATGCTGCCTCCTGCAGGAAAATCCTCTTCTATTGGAGGTCTCAGACACAAGAAGAGCTGGAGGGTTGGTTGCCCAGAGCAAAAAGCAGCTGTAATGTATGAGATGCATGAAAGGTAATAACTGCCTCAGTTCCTTCAGGACAGACATCTTATCTGTTTGTTCCAGGTAAAGCTTACTTCCTGGCATTTATGTGACTCCCAAGAAATATTCCTGAAAAGCAACCATTATGTTATTCTTTTTAAAGCTCCCTGTCTACTAATGATGACACATCTAAATTATATTTTCACTGATGTTCTTGAGATCACTAATAATTTAGCACCTATGTCTTAAAAACACAAATTTATAATCCATTGACTTTTGACATTTGGTTTAAGTATTAGTTTTAATTGAAGTATTTAGACTAGGTTTGAGCCTGTAATGCACACCCATCATCCTAGCTACTCAGAGGCTGAGACAGAAGAACTGAATGTTCAAGGCTAGTCTGAACTGTACTGTGAGTTCAAAGTTAATCTGTGCAACTTGGTGTGACCATTAATTAGGATTTTAAAAGACTGGGGATATAGCTCATTGTTAGAACATGTAACAAGCATTTGCAAAGCCAGGGGTTCAATATTATTTTAATAATTAAATAAAAGCATGGGAGGCCTGCTACTTTTTGAAGGGAAATTAAGGAGTGGACCTGGGGTAGGAGGGTCTGGGGGTGAAGGAGTGGGAAGAGGGGTGGAGGGGGAACTGATGTTGAGATGTAACATATGAGAGAAGACAAAATGGGTGACAATGAGAACCACTCCTTTGGCATTTTCACAGGGCACTGCTCCTTCAAAGCTGTTTCCAACATGTGATCTCACAAGAGGCTAACTCTCCAGAAAGACTTAGGAATGATCACAGAAACCAACAATTGGATGAGATGTTGGTGATCTGATGGATAAGTGGGTGGATGGTCCCATGAGTGTGTGTGTGTGAGTGTGTGTGTGTGTGTGTGTGTGTGTGTGTGTGTGTGTGTGTGTGTGTGTGTGTTGCATGTGGATGCACATCTGTATGATTAAAGATGGTGGGCAGCCTGCACACAATACCTCAGCCTACCTGCTTTTCCTTGGCCCAGAGGTCATAGATCTTCTCATGGGCCTCCCCACAGAGCCTCCTCAGCTCCTCACAGGACTCTTGTAGTGAAATCTGCTCCCCCCTCAGCTTTCGGTTCTCCTCTCTCAAGATGCTCACTTTTTCCTTCAGATGAGTCCACTCACTCAGGAGCTGGCTGTGAAGGATGCTGAACCACCACAAAGAACAAGGTGAGCCCCATCCAGCCTCCATATGCCACTCCCACATCCTCCATGCAAGGTCCCATGCCCAGACTAGAGTTCACTGTAGCCATGCATAAGCTAGTAGCTGGCAAAAGCCAGAGAAGAGCCAAATTCCAGAAAGACTCAGACTGTTTCTGAAAACCCTGAAACTGAAAGGGATCCATGTACTTCTGAGAGCAGGGTTTGCCTCCCCCAACATGTGCTTAACTGTTCATGGTATTGGGAAAACAACAGTAGGTAGAGGGTAAACATTCTTGATGGAGGACAGAAGACCCAATAGGAATATATTCCATCTATGGGTCCATGGGAACCAGCTCTGTAAGCCCCTGCCAGAGCCCCAGAGACACACAAATGCCTGATACCCCATCATGGTGCTAATAGTTTTTCTATCTAGAGGCCTCTGAGGCTGGCAGGACAATGATGGGAGTGGCTCACAGACACTTCCCTCTTAGCAAAACTGGTCCAAGAGGCCCAAGTCAAGAGTACAAGGCAGACTGCTTGCTATGGGGCACACAGGCTAGAACAAAAGGCCTCACTTTGGTTCAAAGACAAAAACAGGGTAAAAAGCAGTCACTCCCAAGTAATGGGGTCGCAGTGAAGTCAGTTACTCACCTGTAGGAGACCGTTTCCTCGGTCAACTCCTTGCACTTGTTCAAGGCCTCACTAATCTCATTAGGGAATTTCTCCAGGTCCACCATCACTTTTTTATGCTCCATATTCAACATCTCCAGCTCAAAATTCAGCCTGTGGTAGGGCATGGCCCAGGAACAAAGAACCCCATGAACATAGGACCCAATGACCATATGAATTCAGGCAGTGTCCTCAACTACCCCAGCACAGTTGATGTCACATTATGGCACCTATAAAGTAAGACAATGTGGTGTTTATTAAACTCACTGTCCTGGCCTCAGACCAGCAGTCAGGTGGTGCTAAGACAGTGAGCCAGGGCTGCATGAGTGCCACCACTGGGACTGGAGGAATTGATTAGCTCTCTAAGAAGTCCTCAGGAGTCTGAGTCACAAGTCTGGGGCCACCAGAAATCTATGATAATGTTGTTCGTGTCTTCAGAATGGGGATTTTTGATCCCAGGTTCCTATTGCTACATGGATGCCCAGATCACATAATCAGTATTTTCAGGGAGTAGACCCAACTTAAGGATACATTTATAAGTCTCCAGTGGATTCCAATGGGCTGCCAACATGAGCACACAGGCCATGAACACTGTTGCTCACAGTGAGTTACTGACATTGCCTGGAAACTTCCTAACACAGGAAGAACCACATGCCCTGCCAGAGACTTCCAACTGCCAGGACTGGATACACACACACACACACACACACACACACACACACACACACACACACACGCATAGACACACTGAGGGTGCCAAATAAATATAGGGAGGTAGCATTGTCTCAGAGTATAAGGATCAAGACCAGAGAGGAGCAGTGATGAAGTTCAGCCTTCAAGCACACACTGAGATGGACCAAGTGGCACCTGGTCCCTCCTACTGCTTCCAAAAGCCACCAGCACCCAAGCACCAGAACTAAGAATCACCATAAACTCACAGCACATAGCATCTCCCATAAGTCAACACCTGTCAAAGACTCTTGAAATGCATGTGAGAGCTCACATACTACTGCCCTTATCCCCAGACTGTGATTCAGGTCCACAAGCTCTGCTTTTCATTAGGAGGAAGAGGTGCAGCCTATATCCCCATCTCACTCCCAACTAGACTTCTGTTCTGCCTCTCAGATGCACTCAGAAAAATTAGCTTGGGCATGAGGATACCCTGAAGGCACAGCCTCCAATGACCTGAGGATTGCTGGGGTTGACTCAGTAGGATCAAGATAGTCACCATAAAACTGGACATAATGACTACCTGTTGTTCAAATCATTGTTGGTGAAATTGGCCAGGATTATAGAGAGTTCATTCCTTTCATTGGTCATCATCTGTAGCTGAAGGGTCAGTTTATCCACCTTGTTCATCTGCTGTTCTTGCTCAGTGAGGGAGGTTGGAGTTGATGCCTTTCCAGTAGTCCCTGTATAAAGATAAACATGAGTGAATTTGTATGGTTGTATGGCACAGGGCCAGGAGAGATCATGTTGAGTCCCAAGAGGCCTGAGAAAGTGGGAATGCATGGAACCCAGTGAAGACCCAAAGAGCAGGACAGCTGTCCTCAAGTTGGGGCTAATAAGCCATGTCTCTGTCCCCAGTCACTATGGCTAGATATGTGCACCAGCCCCTACTGCAGCTCCACTGTCCCTGGAAGGCATATGTTACCCAGCCATGCAGCTCTGGAAATATCGGCTCATATCTGATGTGAGACAGAAAGTCCTGAAGTCCCTAGTGCTTAGCACCACCAATCCCTTTTCACCTGTGTCCAGGACTAAAAGTAACTGAATGTCTAAGACCTTGGTGCATGGATAGGGAGTTTCCCTCCTTGGTATTCACATCAGATATCCATGGAACCTAAAGGAATCCACTGACAATGAACTGTAGGAACACCTTACCCTGACACCTCTTTAGTCTGTGACTCCTGCTGGCTTTCTTTGCCACTCAAAATGAAATAAGGAACTCCCAGAACAGCAGCTGCAGCCTTGACAACTCCTGGCTCTCTGCCAACTAACCATCAGAAATCCTTGACTGAGTCTACCCTTTCAGGAATCCAGAGAAGCAGCATAGACCTATCTCTTTTTAAGAACCCAGCTACTGAACCCTATTTTTGGAATGTCCACCCCAAGCCTCACCTCCTCCTTAGAAAGCCAGATCTCTCTGTCAATCAGGGTGCTCAATCTTGCCAACATGTCTTCTGGTGAACCCTATAAGCACTTAATGTATGCCCCTAGGACAGATGGTGTTATCACAACCATGGTGAATTCACAGATCTTGTCAAGGGCTCTCCAGGAGACAATAGAATGTTCAGAGGAGGGACTGTTAGAGTCACTGCCAACTGTCATCACTTGTTTGATAACTATCTCTTCCTCAATTCACTAAAAAGCCAAGCTTCCCTTTCCAATAACCTTCCCTGAGACACAGGGGAAGGCCTTCAGCACCTTCAGCATCAAGAGATCTCTGATTCATTAGAAATTTTCTCTAGTTCAACATGTGGAGGTGAAGACTCTCTTTCCAAACACTCTCCAGGAATGGGCTCTTCCCTTCCTTAAGATCTCTAATCAATAAGATGAGAAGTAAAGGATACTAAGAAATCAGCTCAGGATGATGGGGGAGGAAGATAAGTTCCATGAAGTGAATGAAGATATCAGGAAAGATGAACAGGGATGTTACACTGTGGGTGAGTGGTGGGAGATTATGAGTGTCTTGTCAGATCAAAAATAAGTCACATAGGTAATGATGAAAATTTCTCCAAAACTTCAGCAGAGTACAGTCCATCCATCATGATGTTAGCAAAGGTGTGACCACCTAGTGACAGGACAGGCTGGAGATACCTAAGGACTGCACATCCTCAGGTGAGCCTTAAGACACCAAGAACAAACACTTGCAGGAAGAGTGATGGCCCATTCCTGCGCCCAAGGTAGAGAAAAGATGACTGGCTAGTGAGTGGGCAGGAACTCAGGAACCTTAGGGGTCACTGAAATGCAACAATGCTTGGTGCAAGTGGCTATGAGGTAAAATGTGAGAACCTCCAACTTTGGCCAAGGGACTTTACTCTGCCTGTTATAAGTATTACTCAACCAAACAATGTCCACTGAGGGTGAAGTTCAGTGCTGTAACTGAAGCCTCATTCTCCCTTCTATGCTTCCTTCCCACTCGAAGTGAAAGCAGAGGGCCCTGAGCAGAGCAGCTGCAGGCTTGACCATTCCTGGCTCTCTGCCAAACTATCCACCAGAAATCCTCAACTCCAGGTCTGCTTTTTAGGAACTCAGAGAAGCGTAATAGGTCCATTACTTCCAAAATGCTCCAAGATCTTGAGTCCCATCTGAAAAACCAAGCTGAAGCCTTCCTCCTTCAGGAAGCTCCCCATCCCTTGTTCAGGACTCACTGTGCTTTCCCCGGAACCATTTATTTCTTGATGTATGGCACTGAGAATGAAGTCCAGCTTCCTTCTGCCTCTCTCTAGTCTCATTATGTTCTCCCTTCCGTCTCCCAAGGAGCCTGCTCAGTCTTGCCAACATGGCTGCAAGTGAAACCTTTAGGCAATGAACAGATGCCCCAATGGCAGTTGGTGTTACCACAACACTGGTGACATCACATAGAATGCCAGGGCTCTCCAGGATACAGTAGAATGTCCAGGGAGGAGTCGGCTGATGTCCACAGTACAGCCTTTATCTCCCTGATAACTACTTCACTCCAAACTGATCTGAAACCAAGGTGCCAGATCAGAAACCCCCCTGGGAGGTCACACAGAAACTTCTTTGGCACACCCTCCTTCCAAAGTCAGAGATCTAGCTCTCTGCTTCATTAGAAACTATCTATGGGGAGTTGAAGGCTCACTTTCAAAACACTGTACAGGAATGGCTCTTCCCTTGCTTCAGATCCATACTCAGTATGATGAGAAATAAATGATGCTAAGAAATTGGGTCAGGATGATGGGGAGTAGGAGCGATGAGTCCTCTGAAGTAAACATCATGGGGGAAGATCCTCAGACTTTTAGAGATTCGTGAGTTCAAAACAAAGAGAAGTCACATAGGTAGTAATAAACATTTCCCCTTGAGAGTAAACAGAGCTCACTCCAGCTATGAGGCTGTGAGTGAAGATGTGATTAGCTGGCACAGCCATATCTGAACGGAATGGCAGAAGTTATAAAGCCAGCACAGCTGCTTGACAAAGATCCAGCAAAACTGAGCCACATCATGGTTGCCATGCCACCTTTGGTTTACATCTCCACCTGTTACATACTTGGGGCACTTTTAATATTTGTACAATTTGAGGATATTGGGTTGATGGAAAATTCCTTATGAATCATTTATGCCTTCTCCCAGGAATGCTGCTTCTGAGCTTACCCAGGAAAGTCCTGAACATACTATTCCTGCCTTGCTTTTAAGGAGATAAGACTGTGCCTAGCAGATTCTCAAAATGTAGTCTTGAGACTATCAGTCTCTGGATGACAACCCTAACCCATCACTCTACAGAAAAGAGAGTCTCATTGGTCATCTAGCTTTTTTCCTTTCTTTTACATCCTTCAGGTAACCAGGGGACAGCCTCCTCAAGCTCATTTAGAGTGGCACAGGATACAGCTTAGTTTCACAACCCTCAAGTCTGACCTCAGAAGCCAAGAGAAAATTGGCACAGTTCACAAACACTCATGTGGATGGAGATGCTCAGGTCATCTGCCTGATCACTCTAGAACCTTGCTGATGCTGGAAGTGAGATGCAGGGACAGCACATAGCCACCATACTAAGCAAGCCATCTTCTCTAATATCATCCCAGGACACTCAAAGCTTGCAGGAAAGACCCAGGTTCTGTTTTTGTTCACTGCCTCTTAAAGCCCTTAATATTGTGAGGTACGTAAATGTACTATCTCTGCTTAGACATTTTCCTAGAAAAGAAAACTGATGTACCCAAAACATAATGACTTCTGTTGTCTCTGGCTCTAACAGAGTTTTTTCTAAGTGTGTACTCTTTAGTAAAATGCAACTTGTGTCTTCTATTGCTTAACATTTCCCTTCTGTGCATAGTACACACCATCGGGAGTTTGGCTAAATCATCAGAGAATGGGCTAATGCAGCTATCATCCCTTTGCTTTAATATTATTGAGTGATGTGCCCTAACAACTACAGCCCTTTATGTTACCTTCACATTTATATTCTAAAAAGATTTCAGAGATCTTTCTTACAGATATTCTAACAGATGGGTCTTTAAGGGATCTATGACTATTTACATTAAGTCTGTGCAAATTCTTCATGCTTGATGCTTGCAGCCCTTGCCTTGGGCTGAACTTAGGACACACTTCCAGGAATAGAATTGTCTCAAAGAACTTAAAATAAAAATATGAATATAAAACTAAATTAACACAATATTTAAAATAAAAATGTTAGCCTTGTATTAATGATGGTACATAGACATCAGCATCTTTCCACATAGGTAGGAACCAGAAATACCTGGAAAGTGCATGTGCACAAAATGTACATGTTAATTTATCAAGTAGTTACTGAATGCACTGCTCCCATTAGAAATGGTAACCTCTGCTGATGTACAGAGCAACAAATACTGACCTTGGAATATTCTGCAAGTTGTAATTCCATGTATGAATTACTGGGACCTACTACTCAGATGCATTAATACAAATTTCACTGTATGATTGCTCTTGTAGAGTACCCAGGTTGCAGTCCACTCACCAAAAGGTAGTTCACAGCCCTCTCTAACTCCAGTTCCAGAAGACATTTTGCCCTCTTCCAACCTCTTTGGGCAGTGCAATGATGTGCTGCAGAGACATACATTCAGGCAAAACACCCATACACATAAAATGAAAATGAAGGGAGATTTTTAGTGTCCTGGATCTTAGATCCTTACTGAAACATTCACAAACTATTCTCATGTGTAGGTTCATGTGTTATGCAGTTTCTGGTAACATTCTTATTGTTGATGATGTTTGAGACAGGGTCTCTGTATGTAGTCCTGAAACTCATCATGTAGCCTGTGCTGGCCTACAGACATCCAAATGCCTCTGCATCCATTGTGTTGGGATTACAAGTGTACATCACTATGCCCCACCTTTTTTTGGGTAACTTCTTTTTATTGTTTTCATTTTGAGACAGGATCTCACTCTACAGCCAAGACTATCCTAAATTTTACTCTGTAGACTAGGCTGACTTTGAATTCACAGAGGTCTACCTGTCTATGCTTTCTGAGTCCTGGAATTTAAGGCACAAATTAGCATGTATGGCATGATTTTTGATGTGTTTTTAATATATGGAGGAGAAAGAATATATTCATAGGAAAGAATTTCAGTACTATGGACTTAATGTAGTTAATCCTTCTATTTTCATATGAACTGTTATGTGGATTCCAGTTCCCAATTCAGACTCTCAGAGTGACAGGGAAGTAATCCCTCATTTCCACAAGTATCCCTGAGATTCCTGTACATTAACCTAAGTTCAGACTTGGTTTTCTATCTTACCAAGTGGAATAGAAGTATATTTTATATTCTTCTGCTTTGATTGGGTTCAGCACTATCAGGCAGTTTGTTCAGTATACTCAAGAAGTAGTGATGTTCAGGAGGAGGTCATGTTTCTCACAGAGACACTGCTGTGTGGACTCTGTGAGCATGGCTGCTGCTGGGAACCTCAACTTCCTCTAATACTGAAATGACAGAGCCTGAAACACTTAGGAAGTGAATTCAAAAACAAATGAGGAGCAAGAGGTTGGGCTGGAACTCTAGACTGTCAGGATGCTGGTGAAATGAAAAGCCCCACATCCTTCCTTGTTCATTGACAGAGACAGGAACTCAACAAAAATGTAAACTTGCTTTGTGAGACATCAAGTAATTAATGAAAATCACAGTGTACCAGAGGATGCACCCAAACCTCCTCTCCTCTCTAGGCATAGAAACTGCTCTATGATTAGAAGAAATATCCTGGCTGAACAAACTCTGGACTCTCCAGTCCCTCCTGTGTGGACTAAAGAAGTGGGAACTTGCCGAGTGTGGGTGGTGATTGAACCCCGAGCTTCCTACATGGTAGGAATCATTCTGCCAACTGAGTCATGTTCACAGCTATTGTCTTTTCCCCCTTTGCCTTTTCTTTTCTTTTTCTTTTTTTGATTTTTTTTGAGACAGAGTTTCTCTGTGTAACAGCTATGGTTGTTCTGGAACTTGCTTTGTAGACCAAGCTAACCTGGAACTTACAGAAATTCACCTGCCTCTGCTTCCCACATGCTGGGATTAATGGCATGCACCACCACTGCCTGACTGCTTTTTCTTTTTTCAACAGTTAATCTCAATGTGTATCTCACAGAGGCATGCAATCTATCTTGTTTTGGTCTCTTAAGTGCAGAATGGAGGGAACCACACTCAACCTGAGGGATTTTTCTCCTGGGGGTTGCACTGTTCAATTTACCTCTTCCAGCAGTTCATTACAGCATCCTCACAGGTATATTGTATATCTGCTGAGGCACCTCTGAGGAAGTTTTCAACAGCTAGGCATGTGGCTTCCCTGAGTGTACCCCCAACCCAAGTCCAACATTGTAACCAGCCCTGCAGGATCTTCCCAGGTGTGTTTCCATGCTCCTGTATTTAAGCCAGGTGATCCTCCCTCCTTCCCATTCAAACGATGTCATTTCCCAGTAATATTTTATTTCTCAATATGATGAAAAGGGGTTTTTAATGAAGGAATGAGACATTCCTGTGCAGTGTTTGGAAAACAAGCACTTGGTTCCCCACATATGAAATACTTCCAAGAAGCCTACTTTGTTCCTGGTGTCCCAAGCTGATACCAGAAATAAAATGACTGAGGAGAGCATTCTGGGTATTCCTCCCAATGGCAGTAATAGGGTTGAGAGAGGATCTCAGCTGCAAAAACCCTTGAATCCTTCAAGAACAGCAAAGGCAGAAGAAGGTGGCAGCCATCAGAAATGGAAATGAACAAAAAACAGAGGTAAGACTAAAGAAAAAGAAGTCTATGAGCAGCCAGAGAAGGGGACCTAAAAGCTCTGGGTATCATAAGAGTTCAAATGCATGATCATGTCTCCTAGAACAAGAGTCTTATAGCCCAGGATGAAATCAGTAACACTGGGAATGGGCACGTGCATGATAAATCCCATAAAATTCCTGATCCATTGGGCCTCAGGAGAAATATAACACTAGAAGAAACCACTTGTCATTGTCCTTGCCTAGTCACTGTCCTTACCGATGCTCCCCAACAGGTAAAACAGCACAAGTTGCCAAAGAACAGCATTTGAAGAGTTTCTCCTTGTCTACCTATGGTTTTGGTCTGTTATAGAAAATGGGTCCTTGGCCATCTGAACCTTCATAGAACCATGATTTACTCCACTTTTTAGAATCGTGTACATTACCTTCCAATAAAGAGACTCAGCATTGCAGTACTCATCACGTGGATGATCCCAGATAGGAAACTTCAAATTTAGACCTGTGAGGATATAGGAAACACAAATTGCATAATGAAGAGGGAATGCTACTTCTTTACTAAGTAGTTAAATCACTGTGATGAAAACATTTCTTTTAGCTGATGCCATTAACTGACACATGCTTAGCATGTCTTGGCATTGACCAATGAGCGTGTGTATATAATCATCTCTTGTGCTGAGAAAATGGAGTAATGGGGGACAGGTAAGAGTTCCATCAACTCAAGATACTTCTTCCCTTGCATCTTAGTTCTGGGTTTGCAGGTGTGCCTACCAAGATTGATAGGATTGGTGTAAGCATTGGGAAACCGTCCTACCCAATAAGACAACACCACTTTTATTTCTCCAGAAACAGAAGACAAACAAACTAGGAGAAAGGGATATGAAAATTTGCCACTTTTCTCACATTAGTTCGCTCCTCCCTCTCTATTTACAACAATTTTGAGCCTGGAGTGATTTTCCATCTAAGTTAAATTGTCAACATCTTTATGACATGAGTACAAACACTAGCCTCACACCACAGTGCTATCTTCTTCATACAGGCACAGCAGATCCAAACCACCACTGGCACAAAGCCAATGGTTCTACCAAACTAACAGATGGACCTGGGAAAATTAAATGATAGATCCTTTAAAACAAAGTAGAAATTCACACCTTTTATGAGGGAAGGATTGAGAGTTTCATATCCATAAAGTTAAGGGGCAGATTCTGTTTTGGCTATGGTTAAAAACTATTATCTCCTAGCAAAGGTGATTTTCCCATGATTTTAAACAGTATTTGTTTATTCAGTCATTTTAAAAATAAACATTCATATGATGAATATGGAAATCTACTCATGGGTACTTTAAAAACAATGTATTTATTTAGAGAGAAGGGGAAGATGATAGATAGATAGATAGATAGATAGATAGATAGATAGATAGACAGACAGACAGACAGACAGGTGACAAACAATACATGCCATACTATTCTGTGGAGACAAAGGAACAAACTGGGAGGAGGAAATTCTCTCTTTTCACCTACATTGTCATCTCAGTGTCCCTTCCCTGGTACTTTTCATGATCAACTTAAGGATTTGTCTTAGAGGGGTTTTTATGGTTCTGAAATTTAGAGAACAATGTATATCAAAGTGCACTGTGAATGATTTGTGCAGACATTTGTTTCAAATGATGGATGCTCTGAATCAAAGCTAACCCTGGGGATAAGATTCTTGATGGAAGGACTGTTATCTGTCTAGCTGAAGAAACTGCTTGCCCAGAGTAATAGACAGGAAAAGGCAAAAGTGAAGTTACTCTGCCATGCAGGTGAGTGAGTTCATAATGAAAACCACCACTGAATACTAAAAATCACCAAGCAAGATTCCAGGGTGAGTTAATGAAATGGCATGTTCCTTCTTGGCATTGTGCCTCTGAGAATCTATCTTGTGTTTCTCGTGCATTTTTCTGTTGTAAAACTATGGGTTACTAGTGCTATGTATGGCCCTGTGGACAGTCCAGGTTCTAGCATTTAATCAGTTATAGTAGTGTTCACACATATCTAAATATAATATTACAAGTGTCAAAATAAAATTTCTAAGGTACTTCAGAAGTTAACCTTCTAAATCCTAAAGTCTCAAAGACTTAATGAAAAACATTCCAATTAGATGAATTAACGTATACATTTTAGTCTCTCAATCCTTTTTAAACAACAATTACTGAAAAGATGATGCAAAATAATGTGCACAGAACAGGATATACTAATGTTCATGTTTAAATTCATAATCGCTCTAAATGTTGTATTTCAGGACCTATATGAATGCAACTAGTCACTCGGAAATTATACCCAGACGTTTGGCTTTATTTAATATTTGATGGTGCTCAGAATATGCTATCTCAAAACATGGTGACTAGTCATAGGAAGAATTTGAGCCAACGAATGAATGTGAGGAAGGACTCTGCTTTTACCCTGAAGCTGCTCATAAAAGCTAGAAAGGGCTTCCTGACATTTCCTGAAACAGGTCAGAAGCACCACATGTCCCTCCATGGAGGAAAGAAAGGAGCAGCCTCATAGCTACAGACTGATGAAGGCATACACAGGGGACAGGAGCCAAAAGCCCTCACTATTTGCCATTCACCTGCTTGGCTCATAATGGTTTTATTTTGTCACACACTCTATAACATTCCACTTGCCATCAACTCCAGTATAAAATCTCAGGTCTCAGCACTTGTTTTGGGCTTTCCTTCCTTGGGAAGGATCTGGTGTTGTGAAAGTTTGTACTAGGTAAGTCTCCATGCTTTTCTCCTCTCTGTCTGCTTTGTTATGGAGTCCCCAACAAGGGACTAAATGTGGGTAGAAGGAAAAAGCATTTTTCCTCCTGCATTTACTATTTTTCTTCCAAAACTCTTATTTGTCAACCAAATGATAACACTCTCATTTTTTAAAAAAAGTTCTCTCTTCTTCAAAAAACGTCTTCTATTAGAGCCAACAAATAAAACTGTTTTATTTTCCCTTCTAAGGATACCTTGGAGGAATGGGAATTTGAATGGAACAGGCCCTCATCAGTTCATATGGAGTGGCATTATTAGGAGGTGGGGCTTTGTTGGAGTAAGTGTGGCCTTGTTGGAGGTTGTATGTCACTGTGGGGGAGGACTTTGAGGCCTCTTATGCTAAAGGCACTCCTGGTGTTTCAGAGCACTTTTGTTGCCTGTGGGGTCCAGATGTAGCTCCTTCTCCACTCCCAGCTCCTTCTCCATGTCCTGATCATGTCCTGCATGCCTCCATGTCCTGCCATGATGACAATGGACTAAACCTCTGAAACTGTAAGCCACAGCTGATTAAAGGTTTTCCTTTATAAAAGTTGCTGTGGTTATGGTGTCTCTTCACAATAATACAAACCCTAACTAAGACAGAAGGTATCCAAAATAATTACAGAGCCCACAGGGAATAAATAAACAGTAATGAATTCTTCTTAAAATTAATTAAATGATTCAATTCCAGCCTGGTCTACAGCGTGAGTTCCAGGATAGACTCCAAAGTTATACAAATAAATCTTGTCTTAAAACAAAACAAAACAAAACTTAAGTAACGAAGTCACACAACTTCCTAATTGTTCATGTTTCAGTTAGGTTCCAGGGTACTTCACAGTCAAATATTTATTCACCAAAGAAAGATAATGAAATGCCACTTAAGATTACCTTTTCCTGAATATGATGTAAACATTTGTGGAAATGCTCAATAATAATCACAGGCATTATGAAATTCTTCCTAAGGAAGGTAAAAAGAAGATAGTTAAAAGCATAAGTGAATGAACTGAGCCAGGCTGACCATCTGTGTCTGCAGAAAAAAATCTAGTCCAAAGTCAAAAATCTGAATTGTGGTGACAGTGACTGTCTCACACTTTTCTTTGAAAAGATAAAGGGATCCTGCCCAGAGCTCCCATCTGGACCAGAGGTGAGTGTCTGGGATCATACCAGGGAGGCCTGGCCCTAGGTCCCATGCCCGGGCCCAGCCATTCCTGGGGGAAGACCCGCCCAACTGGGCCCTAGTTGATGGCCAGCAGGCAGGGCTCCACTGGGAAGGTTCCCCTTCTCTAAGACTCCCCAGTGGACCCTGCAATCTACATGCCCTGCCCCCACACCCATCTACCAGAGACCCCATCCACTTCCTGAGACTTAGAGACCAGCCCCCAGGTCCCATCTTGCCCAGAGCTCCCATCTGGCCTAGAGAGCTCTCATCAGGCCCAGAGAGCTCCCATCTGGCCCAGAGCTCCCATTTGGCCCAGAGAGCTCTCATCAGGCCCAGAGAGCTCCCATTTGGCCCAGGGAGCTCCCATCTGGCCCAGAGGAAGAGAGAGCTCTCATTGGACAAAGAGTTGTCATTGGACCAAGAGTAACATCAGGAGACAGGGAATCTGCCAGCCCTGATTAGACCAAGAGTGGCTTTCTGAGAAGTAGAATCCACCACCTCTCATTGGACCAAGAGTGTAGCTGGAGTTTCCTCTCTGGGTTCTGCCAAGCCCTGCAGTCCGACAGCCCACTTATAAAATAAACACACAGACACTTACATTATTTACAAACTGTATGGCCATGGCAGGCTTCTTGCTAACTGTTCTTATATCTTGAATTAACCCATTTCTATAACTCTATACCTTGCCACGTGGCTTGTGGCTTACCAGCATCTTCACATGCTGCTTGTGCTGGCGGCAGCTGGCAGTGTCCTCCTTCCTTTCCTGTTCCCTTAATTCTCTTTTCTGTTAGTGTCGCCTATACTTCCTGTCTGGCCACTGGCCAATCAGTGTTTTATTTATTAACATATTTGCCATACAGAACATCCCACAGCACTATTAAAATAGAAAAGGGGAAATATGGTGATATTTTAATTGTACTGAAATGTGATTTTATTTGCATGTTAATAAATAAAGTTGCCTGGGGGTCAGAGCTAATAGCAAGCCATCACAGAAGCTGGGCGGTGGTGCTGCATGCCTTTAATCCTAGCTCTTGGGAGGCAGAGCTAGGCCAATGTCTGTGTGTTCAAGGATACAGCCAGTATGGAGACACATGCCTTTAATCTCAATACCAACCATAGAAGACCTGGAGGTCTGTACAGATGGGCAGTGATGAGGAGGTCATGTGGTTGGATTTACAACCAATGAAAAGGCAGAATAGAAAGTCAATAAAAAGCACAAACACACAGGAAGTAGCTCTCTTGTGGAGAGGTAGGACAGCAGCGGCAGTGAAGGGTAAGGTTTTTAATCTCAGCTCTTACCTATTGCTCTGACCTCTTGGCTTTCATGTCTGAATCCACTCTGTGTTTCTTATTTTAAAAGGTGGTTACATCTATACAAGAGAGGCTTCCTGAAATGCCAAATCTGTCAGCTCTGACTGGACCAAGAGCCCTGATAATACCAAGAATGAATCCATGAGGAGATGGGCAGATGTCAAGGCAGAAGTACATACAACAACATAAAGAGCAATACAGCAACACCAGAATCTAGCCCTCCTCCAACAGCAAGACCTGAACATCACAAAGTGGAAGAAGGAGAAGAAAGTAACCTTAAGAATAGCATCATGAAGATGCTAGAGGCCTTTAAAGAAAAAATCAAATATGAAATTGAGAAAGAGATAAACAAAAAAGTGGAGGAAATCAATAAAGAAAATGAAAAGTCAAACAAAAAATGGGAAGAACTCTATAAAAAAAACTATAGGAAAGGACAAATAAAGCAGAAGAAAACTATAAATCCTTTAAAGAAAGCCATGAGAAAGCAATGAAACAGGTGAGGGAAACAGTCCAAAATCTGAAAAGGGAAATAGAAACAATGAAGAAGACATAAACAGAGGGAATGCTGGAAATAGAAAATCTGAGTAAATGAACAGGAAACACAGATGCAAGCATAACCAACAGAATACAAGAGATGGAAGAGAGGATCTCTGGTGTAGAGGATACAATAGAGGAAATGGATTCATCAGTCAAAGAAAATACAGATGCCAAAAAAATCATAACACAAAATGTCCAAGAACTCTGGGACACGATGAAAAGACCAAAACTATGAATAATAGGGATAGAGGAAGGAAAAGAATACCAACTCAAAGGCACAGAAAATATATTCAACAAGATCATAGAAGAAAATTTTCCCAACTTAAAGAAGGAAATGCCTATGAAGATACAAGAAGCCTATAGAACACCAAACAGACTAGACCCCCCCCAAAAAAAAATAGTCTCCTCGCCACATAATAATTCAATGACTAAACATACAGAATAAAGAAAAAAATATTAAGAGCAACAAAGGAAAAAGACCAAGTGACTTATAAAGACAAAGCCATCAGAATAACACCCAATTTCTCAATGGAGACTTTGAAAGCCAGAAGGACCTGGACAGATATAATGCAGACACTAAGAGACCATGGATGCCAGCTTAGACTAATATGCCCAGCAAAATTTTCTATCATCATAGACGGAGTGAACAAGACATTCCAAGACAAAGCCAGATTTAAGCAATACTTATCCACAAACCCAGCCCTACAGAAAGCACTAGAAGGAAAATTCCAACCTAAGGAAGTCAGATATACCCACAAAAACACAGGCAATAGAAAAACACCACAGCAGTAAACCCCAAAGAAGAGAAGTACATACACACTACCACCAAAAAATAACAGGAATGAACAATCACTGGTCATTAATATCCATTAATATCAATGGAGTTAATTCACCTATAAGCAGACAAAGGCTAACAGAATGGATATGAAAGCAGGACCCATCTTTCTGCTGCATACAAGAAACACACCTCAAATTCAAAGATAGACACTACCTAAGAATAAAAGGTTGGGAAAATTCTTTCCAATCAAATGGTCTTAAGGAGCAAGCAGGTGTGGCCATCCTAATATCCAGCAAAATAGACTTCAAACTAAAATCAATCAAAAGAGATCAAGAAGGGCATTATATACTCATCACAGGAAAGATCCACCAAGATGAAGTTTCAATTCTGAACATTTATGCCCCAAACACAAGGATACCCACATATGTAAAAGAAACATTACTAAAGCTTAAATCATATATAAAACCCCACACATTAATAGTGGGAGACTTCAACACCTCACTCACACCACTGTACAGACCTGCCAAATCTAAACTTAACAGAGAAATAAAGGTCTTAACTGATGTTATGATTCAAATGGACTTAATCGATATCTACAGATATTCCATCCTAACAAAAAAGAATATACCTTCTCAGCACCTCATGGATCCTTCTCTAAAATCAACCACATACTTGGCCACAAAGCAAATTTCAACAGATACAAAACAATTGGAATAACCTCCTGTGTTCTATCAGACCACCACAGTTTAAAGTTAGATTTCAACAACAACAAAAACTACAGAAAGCCTACAATCTCATGGAAACTAAATAATGCTCAATTGAATCACCAATGGGTTAAGAAAGAAAGAAATTGAAGACTTCCTAGAGATCAATGAAAATGAATATACCACATACCCAAACTTATAGCACACTATGAAAGCAGTGCTAAGAGGGAAATTCATAGTACTAAATGTCCACATAAAGAAGTTGGAGAAATCTCACACTAGTGACTTAACAGCACACCTGAAAGCTCTAGAACAAGAAGAAGCAAAGTCACCCAAGAAAAATAGATGCCAGGAAATAATCAAATTGACAGCTGAAATCAATAAAATAGAAACAAAGAGAACAATACAAAAAATTAATGAAACAAAGAGTTGGTTCTTTGAGAAAATCAACAAGATAGACAAGCCCTTATCCAAACTAACAAAAAGGAGGAGAGAGAGAGCATACAAATTAACAAAATCAGAAATGAAAAGGGGGACATAACAACTAACACTGAGGAAATCCAGAGAATCATCAGGTCATAATTCAAAAACCTCTATTCCACAAAACTGGAAAAATCTAAAAGAAATGGATAATTTTCTGGATAGGTGCCACATACCTAAGTTAAATCAAGACCAGATAAACTATTTAAACAGTCCAATAACCCCTAAGGAAATAGAATCAGTCATTAAAAGTCTCCCAACCAAAACAGCCCAGGATCAGATGGTTTTGGTGCAGAATTCTACCAGATCTTCAAAATAGAGTTAATACCAATACTCTTTAAATTGTTTCCCACAATAGAAACAGAAGGAACATTACCAAACTCCTTCTATGAGGCTACAATTACCCTGATTCCCAAGCCAAACAAAGATGCAACAAAGAAAGAGAACTACAGACCAATCTCCCTCATGAACATTGATGCAAAAATACTCAATAAAATACTGGTAAACAGTCTCCAAGAACACCTCAAAACAATTATCCACCATGATCAAGTAGGCCTCATCCCAGGGATGCAAGGGTGGTTCAACATATGAAAGTCTGTCAATGTAATACACCATATAAACAAACTCAAAGAAAAAAAACCCACATGATCATTTCACTAGATGCAGAAAAGGCATTTGACAACATCGAACACCCCTTCATGATAAAGGTCTTGGAATACAGGGAACACACCTAAACATAATAAAGGCAATTTACAGCAAGCCAACAACCAACATCAAAGTAAATGGAGAGAACTCAAAGTGATTCCACTAAAATAAGGAACAAGGCAAGGCTGTCCGCTCTCCCCATACTTATTCAATACAGTACTTGAAGTTCTAGCCAGAGCAATAAGACAACATAAGGAGAACAAAGGGGATACAAATTTGAAAGGAAGAAGTCAAAATTTCGCTATTTGCAGATGACATGATAGTATACATGAGTGACCCCAAAAATTTGACCAAGGAAATCATACAGCTTATAAACACCTTCAGCAACATAGCAGGATACAATATTATACAGGATACTGATAAAAAAAAAATCAGTAGTCCTCCTATATAAAATTGACAAACAGGCTGGGAAGGAAATCAGAGATACATCACCCTTTACAATAGCCACGAATGATATAAAATACCTTGGGGTAACTCTAACTGAGCAAGTGAAGGACCTGTATGACAAGAACTTTAAGTCCCTGAAAAAAGAAATTTAAGAAGATGTCAGAAACTAGATACATCACCCTTTACAATATCCACAAATGACATAAAATACCTTGGGGTAACTCTAACTGACCAAGTGAAGGACCTGTATGACAAAAACTTTAAGTCCCTGAAAAAAGATATTGAAGAAGATGTCAGAAAATGGAAAGATCTCCCATGCTCATGGATAGGCAGGATTAACATAATAAAATGGCAATCTACCAAAAGCAATATACAGATTCAATGCAATACCCATCAAAATACCAACACAGTTCTTCACAGACCTAGAAAGAACAATACTCAACTTCATATGGAAAAACAAAAACCCAGGATAGCCAAAAGAATCTTGTACAATAAAACAACCTCTGGAGGCATCACGATCCCTGACTTAAAGCTCTTCTATAGAACCACAGTAATAAAAACAGCTTGGTACTGGCATAAAAACTGACATGTGGACCAATGGAATTGAATTGAAGACCCTGACATTAATCTGCACACCTATGAACATATAATTTTTGACAAAGAAATGAAAACTGTACCATGGAAAAGAGAAAGCATCTTCACCAATTGGTGCTGGCATAACTGGATGTCATCATGTAGAAGGCTACAAATAGATCCATATCTGTCACCGTGCACAAAACTTAAGTCCAAGTGGATCAAAGACCTCAACATAAATCCAGTTACTCTGAATCTGATAGAAGAGAAAGTAGGAAGTAGTTTTGAATGCATTGGCACAGGAGAACACTTCCTAAATATAACACCAGTAGCACAGACACTGAGAGAAACAATTAATCAATGGGACCTCTTGAAACTTAGAACCTTTTGTAGAGCAAAGGACATGGTCAACAAGACAAGTGACAGCTTACAGAATCGATAAAGGTCTTCACCATCACCACATCTGACAGAGGGCTGATATCTAGAATATATAAAGAACTCAAGAAATTAGACATCAAAATGCCCAACAGTTCAATTAAGAAATGGGCTATAGAGCTAAACAGAGAATTCTCAACAGAGGAAACTCAAATGGCTGAAAGACATTTAAGGAATTGCTCAACATCCCTAATCATCAGGGAAATGCAAATCAAAACAACTCTGAGATACCACCTTAAACCTGTCAGAACGGCTAAGATCAAAAACACTAAAGACAGCTTATGCTGGAGAGGATGTGGAGCACGGGGAACTCTCCTCCACTGTTGGTAGGAGTGCAAGCTTGTACAGCCACTTTGGAAATCAATATGGAGCTTTCTTATAAAATTGGGAATCAATCTCCCCCAAGACCCAGCTATACCACTCTTGGGCATATTCCCAAGGAATGTTCAATCATACCACATGGGCAAATACTCAGCTATGTTCACAGCAGCATTATTTGTGATAGTCAGAACCTGGAAACAACCTAGATGACCTTCAACTGAAGAATGGATAAGTAAAATGTGGTACATATACACAATGGAATACTACTCAGCAGAGAAAAACAATGACATTGTGTGGTTTGCAGGCAAATGGATGGATCTAGAAAAAAATCATCCTGAGTGAGGTAATCCAGGCTTAGAAAGACAAACATGGTAGGCACTAACTTATAGGCAGATACTAGATGTAAAACAAAGGATGACTAGACTGCTACTCACAACTCCAGGGAGGCTACCTAGTAAGGAGGACTGTAAGAAAGACACAGGGATCGCCCAATGACAGAGAAATGGATGATATACATGAGCAAAGTGGACGTGTGCTGTAGGATGGTCTGTATGTCAAATGTGTTGCTGATGGGTCAATAAATAAATCACTGATTGGCCCGTGGCCAGGCAGGAAGTATAGGCGGGACAAGGGGGAGAATAGAGCTGGGAAGTGGAAGGCTGAGTGAGAGAGACACTGCCAGCTGCCATGATGAGAAACAACATGTAAAGATGCCGGTAAGCCACAAGCCACATGGCAAGGTATAGATTAATAGAAATGGATTAATTTAAGCTGTAAGAACAGTTAGCAAGAAGCCTGCCACGGCCATACAGTTTGTAACCAATATAAGTCTCTGTGTTTAATTGGTCGGGTCTGAGCGGTTGTGGGACTGGCGGGTGTCAGAGATTTATCCTGACTGTGGGCCAGGCAGGAAAACTTAGCTACAGACGTGGGGCGGTAATGAAGGGCAAGGATCGGGGAAAGAGAGTGTAGAGGAGTGGGAGATTCCAGCTGGATCAAGAACAGAGAGGCAGAACAAGGAAAGAGAGACCATGACAAATGAAGACCCCATGGGAATAGGAAGAAGCAAAGTGCTAGAATGGTCCCCAGAAATCCACAAAGATACCTCCAAAATAGACTACTGGCAATGGTTGAGAGAAAGCCTGAACTGACCTACTCTGGTGATCGGATGGCCAAACACCTAACTGTCATGGTAGAACTCTCATCCAATGACTGATGGAAGCAGATGCAGAGATCCACGGCCAAACCCCAGGTGGAACTCTGGGAGTCCAATTAGCAAGAAAGAGGAGGGATTGTATGAGTGAGAGATGTAGAGATCATGGTTGGAAAAAGCACAGGGACACATCGCTAAACTAGGGGAAACACATGAACTATGAACCAATAGCTGAGGAGACCCCAACTGGATCAGGCCCTCTGGACAAGTCAGACAGTCGATTAGCTTGATCTGTTTGGGAGGCATCCAGGCAGTGGGACCTGGACCTGTCCTTAGTGCATGAGCTGGCTTTTTGGAGCCTGGGGCCTATGATGGGACACTTTGCTTAGCCTGGGTGAAGGGAGGAGAAGACTGGACCTTTCTTGACTGAATCTACCAGGCTGAGCTGAATCCCCAGGGGAGTCCTTGCCCTGGAGGAGATGGGAATGGGGGGTTAATTGGAGGGAGGGTGGGGAGGAGGGAGGACAGGGGAATCCATAGCTGATATGTAAAATTAAATTAAATTATAACATAAAAAGATAAAATTTGTATCAGATTTTAATGCTATTGAACTGCAAACTTTTAAATAATTCAGTTTTAAAATTCTTTGAGAATTTCATCTATGCATACAGTGTATTTTGATCATATTACCACTCATTACTCACAAATGGGCCCTGATCCACTCTGCTAATCCCAACATTACTAAATCCATGCCTTTTGTTTTGTTTTAAATCATCTATGTAAGGCAGCACTGCATACCCATATGCTCATGTGTTAGAGCCATCACTGAGTTTGCTCAAACTACCTGGCATCAGCACCCTAAAGTAAACTGACTCTTCCTCCTCCAAAAGCCACCCACTGCCACCAGCTACTCAGTTAGGTGTTTGAGCCAGTGAACACCTTTCTCTTCCATACTAGAATGTTCATGGCTTGACTTTGAAGTTCATGAGTGCAGTAGTCCTGTCATGCCCAGAAGATACTATTTTATTTCAAGTGTTGTAATATGCTACAAACATTTCAGAGATATCAAGTTTTATATAAAATATGATTATGTGTTAGGAGGAATTCTGAAGAAAATGTTAGTGTTCTTATTTGACTGATAATATTCCCATGTGAGTTATAATTAAATGAATCAAGGCAGTACTGCATCATGAATCTGACTGTTGCTTTTTATACGTGAAAATTATTGAGGTAATTTCTTCTGTCTATATAACTTCTAAAATGCAGAGTCAGAAGCTGAAGGTGACAAAAGACCACTGGAAACTACACTGAGGCTATATTCATACTCTTGATATTTCAGATAACCATGATTTGCATTTGGTGCTTGAAAGCTGGTCTGAATGATATTTAGGACATGACTGTCAGTTTGCCTCAGTTCTTCTCTTGCACATTAACATAGAGAATTACAGTAGGTTTGGTGATGTAAACAGTGTGTTCACTCCAATGCACTCTACAGCCCAATGATTAAGGCTAGAAAGGGAGCCCTGATGTCATCCTCATCAGAACAGCATTGTCCTTGTCGACAGCCTGAATTTTGAATTAAGTGGATAGTGTAGGCATCAAGATACTTGTGTTTATCAATATTCAGTCCCCATTGGACTCCTGTCTGGATTGTTTTACTGATTTTGTTTCTCGTGATTTTGTATGTATATACATTTATGGGTGCATATATATGTTTAACATATTTCCAACCAAAATCTGCTTCAGTAATTCTTCTCTATTTCTTTTTCCAGAAACATGGTCCATGATGTTCCATTTTTTCTTACAAGATTTCAGAGACTTGAACTTAATATACAATAGCATATCAAATGTGGACATGTTTTCTCAAAGAAGGATCCCCATTGTATTATTTTTATACTCCGAGGATGATGTGTAATACCAATCACCAAAGCATTAGCAAATAAAGACTTTTCCCACACATTGTCAGACTTCCTCCTATATTTAATTTTCCTTCTTCTGACTTTTCTTGATTAACATTCTGGAGTGACCCATCTCATCCCGACCTTTCAACTGCAGGCACTTCTACATTTCATTTCATCAACTTGCTGCATCTCCTCTTTACTTAAAGGATTCCAGACTAGTTATTTAATGGGGTGTCCTTGTGCTGCTGAGCTCAATGCTAGAAACCCCCTACTAAGTTTGCTGTCTTTAGAAAAATAACATCCCCAAAGAAAAAAATGATCGGCCCATCACATTCTGGAAAATCTGTGAGATGGCATCAGAAATTGGTAGTCTTAAATCCTCCATTTCCTTCTGACTTTTCTCTAAAATATGTCCTTAAAATTTTGGCAATGGGGATTTAGCTCAGTGGTAGAGTGCTTGCCTAGCAAGCCTTGGGCTTGGTCCTCAGCTCTGAGAAAAAAGTGATCTAAATGTATTCTTCAGAGTATCTAGCCTGTTAATATTTCTGGACCAGAAACTCTTGCCTCTCCATTATAATAATCCATGCTAGAACCCATGCTAGAACCCAATCTGTTTTATCTCAACCTCTCTGTATCATCTGCTGCAACAAGGATTCCTTATTCCTTTTCTAGAGTTCTATACAAACCCTGGAGCATTCATTTAGAAAGATTCTTGGGGGCCTAGAATGCCAGGGCCCCCTGGATAACTAGTATTTGTCCCACCTCACCTCACATATCAACACAAAGAAAAAGTGGGACCACTGAGAGACAACTGGAATGGAACGAAATTTGAGGGCTATTTTTGGGAAACACAAATCCTAGAATTGTCCAGAATTAAAGGGCTACAGATACTAAAAGAAAAATTCTGAGTTCTTCAACCATACCTAGTTCTCTGACCAATATGGGGAAGAAGGACAAATGTTCTGAGTCCATCCTGCCTTTGGTGAACCCAATAAACACTATAGTGTATAGCCTGAAAACTGTATATACTCCTAACTGTCTCTCTCTGTTTCTGTCTCTCTGTCAGTCTTCTGCCTATCTCTCTCTCTCTCTCTCTCTCTCTCTCTCTCTCTCTATATATATATATATATATATATATATATATATATATATATATATCTATATATCTATTTCATCACCTATCTCTATCCATCCATCCATCCATCCATCCATCCATCCTTCCGTCTTCTCCTACAACTACTCTTCCTCTTTTATTTCTCCTTCTTCTTGATCTTCCCTTATTCATCCCGGATATTATAACCATTTTTGCCTCCCTGAATTTTTACAGGGCTTTAGAAAATGCTAATTACATCATAAAAAATAAAAAAAACCTTTTCTTTGTAGGTTTTATTCTCCATATTTTCCCACCCAAAATCTTTATAATCCCTATCTTTCCTGGTAGTTGCTAAAATATGAGGTTCCTTAGATCTCTGACACTGTGACACTAAAAGTATTGTGAAAAGGAGTGTTTGTTTAAAAAATGCAAGTTGTGCTTAAAATGAGCCCAAAACCTACATCCAAAAACTTGATACTTTAATAACTTGCAAACGCATCATTTTAGTTTGTTTCTTTATATGACAAATGTAATTTACATACAATGAATTCAATGAGTTGAAATATTCAGTGTTTATTAGTTCTCTATCATGAAGTTTACAAAAATGTTTTCTGACTAAATAAATTCTTGTCAAGAGGTAAAATCTGTAGAGTTTTCTAAATGGAAATGGAAAGTTGTACTCAAACCCAGAAAAGTCATAAGTCAGAAATTTTACGGAAGAGAAAAAAATCAAGATCATATATGAAACTGCTGTATTTATTAAAATTCCTTAGGACAAAATTCATTACATTTGTATACAATTAGAGTGTAATTCTCTGTTTGAAATAAAAGTGATAGAAGATGCCACTTAGTTTCAACCTTTTATACAGAGAAAAGGAAAATCCATGCTAGAACTTGCATTTGATAGCCTTAAAATGGCCTGCAAAAAGAGCCTGTCTTAGTCAGGGAGCATTCTGTCTCTCAACTACTTGATACAAAAGACTTTCAAAAGATCAATGAAACCTCCTGTCAAAGCTTGGCTCATGGGATTGTAGGCTATGTGAACAGACGAGATCAATCTGAATGCTATAGAAGTGGGAAAGTAGGTGAGACACTTACAAAAACCTCCTTGAAATACAGGCTATGTAATCTAATGAAATCTGAGAGAAATTATTTCCTGATGGACTGGCTCACAGGAAGCATTGGGGATGCTTGGTTATCACAAGCAGAGGTCTCACACACACTGGAAGATGATGAAGGAAGGATGGGGTTTTCCTGATAAAATATATATGAGAGAAGCAGTGCTTTGCGGCCAATTCACTGGGCATGATAGAGCACTGGGCTGTGCTTACAGAAGAGGTCAAACATAAAATGGTTGATTCACCAGGGACTTCAGGACTTGTGTTTGCCTTTAGTGCCTTTGCAGAGCTCCATGGGACAATGTGAACTTATACAAACAACTAACATTTTAAGGAATGGGTGAAATGTTGTGTAACAATTTTCCTTTGTATGACATGAAATACTTTTCTATTATTTTTGAGACAATAATTACATTATTTTCTCTTATTTTTCATCCTTCCAAACCCTCACTACACTCCTCCTTGCTCTGTTTCTAATTTATGACCTCTATATTCATTAATTGTTGCTATGTTCATATACATATATATGTGCATGAAGACATATATATGTGTGTGTGTGTGTGTGTGTGTGTGTGTGTGTGTGTGTGTGTGTATCCATATAGTTATATATTCCTAAATGTAAACCAATCATTCTGTATAGCTAGCATATATGTTTTCAGGACTGATCATTTAATATTGAGTATCCAACTGGTGTGCTCTTCCCTGAGTAGGACTATTTCCTTAAGTCTCAGAAAGTTCTGTGGAAAGAGAGAGGAGGTTCATAATACTCAGCAATTAAACCATGGCTGGGAAAGCTGAAATTTACAGGATTAACAAGGCCCTTCCGCTCCCAAGGTTAAATAGGTGTAATTAAGGAGAACTGAGGAAATGAGACCCTCTGTCTCATTCAGCTGCAAACAAGTCATGCAGACACATTCAGAGTTCTAGTCTTCATGAGTCACCCATTCTAATGTGAGCCTTTGTGATGCCACACATTAGAGTTATTCATATTCCTATAAGTAATACCATACCTATACTCCTGTAATAACCTCAATAAACTCATTAATTTGAGGGAAAAAGAATTACACAGTCTTCCCTGAGAGGCAGACAGATAAAGAGGAACTGATAAGTAATACAAAAAGCCAACTTCTGGCTTCCTTTTTATTTTCTATACTGAGACAAAGGCTTAGTAGGCTGTGTCTTCCACCAGCAGGCTGCCTCTTCCAGCTGTCTGCTTCAGGACAGATAGGTATGTTCACAGTCAGTGCTGAACATGGTCACTTGAAGATGCAGGTGATCACCCAGACTGTCACCGACAGTCAGAGGACCTAGTTTGATCCTGTGCTTGTTCCCGCCAGAGTCCAAGAGTTTCCAGCTTGGGTAGGCTATCTCTGTGGTTTTCCCCATCATGATCTTGACCTCACTCTGGTTGTTTCTGGATGTTCGAACATTTAGAAATAGAAAAAAAGTTGCTGGGCATAGTGATGCATGCCATGATCTCAACCAATTGGGAAATGAGGAGGAGAATGGAAGACTGACTGCAGTGCAAGTTCCAGGAGAGCCTGTGTCTCAAAAAAGTCATGTGAACTGTGCCACCATTCTCATGGCTGCTGAGGCCAGATTTGGGGAGTCTGAAGCCAGGCTTTGTCTTGTGCAGCTCTGAGTAAGGTTGAGGAGGCTGTCCCTTGGGTAAACTGAAGCATGTGAAAAGGAGAAGAAACCAGCAGACACCTGAGACACTCCTCTCCCTGTAGAAGACAGGAAAGTTGACATTCACAGAGGGGGAGTCTCAAGCCTGAACTTTGAGAAGCGGCTAGGCAAAGTCTTATCTCCCAGTTCATTTCCTGAACATGATCCAACTACCAAGAGTGGGCTGAGATGAACATTGTAAAAGGCAGGTGCCGTCCCCCTGTCAGCTTGATCTCAGGGCATTTGGAAGAACATGAACCCTCCTCTGGATGGGACATCAGTGAGATAAGAAGCAGGACCATGCAGAAGGGATTTCTGTCTTTGCTGGGTAAATAACTATATATCCTGGGCAGGGTATCTGTTCATGGAAGTGTGATGTTTCACAATTGATTGTTAGAAAGGCCAAGCTGTCTGAGGTCTCAGCTATACAGCTGACTCCAGGCCTCTTTCTAATTACTGGGATTTGCAGGCAATCCTTTATACTTTTCCATCTAGATCTACTGCCTCATCTCTGGATTCATGTGAGCAATCACACTCTCTGAGTATCTCACCCCTCTCTCTATACCACCTCTCTACTCAGATTTCTTTACCCCCAATACTGTCTTCTATGTTCTTAAAATAGTTTTTATATCAGTTTAGAGGACATGCCTTGCTCCCAAATTCCAGGATGTACTCAACTTTTTGGTCTTCACAAGACTCTATTTAGAAATAAAGTTGACAATCACATTTATTTGCTTAAAGCTTCAAAATCTGAAATGACACAGATCACCCAAAAGTATCATAAGTCCTAGGCTGCAAGGATAACGCTTTGGTGGACAAAATCCAGAGATTTGGTTGGAGAACATGCACTCCATGCTGACCATGACCTGGCTTCTCTTTATAGCGATGTCATGATAAGAAATGTGAGGTTTGGGTATAACAAAGCTGTATGATGCAACAACTCTTGATTCTCTCCCCTTGCCTGCCCTTCTCACGTCCTCCTAATGGATCTTGTACCCAAAGCTAGCAGTGCCACCTCTTCAAGAGCATGTGGATTGGAACAGGTGGTGCCAAAACTAGGCGTTGGGATTTGTTTACTGGTTCAAGCACCACAGCAGTGATCTACATCATGTTCTACTCCATGATTGTATGCCTGGTTTGTGTCTGTCTGTGTGTGTGTGTGTGTGTGTGTGTGTGTGTGTGTGTGTGTGTGTGTGTGTGTGTTGTCTCATTCATGATGCCTCTCCATAGCCAACACTGAACTCTGACTTGCCACTACATTTTCCTCAGTCAATGATTTCAAGGGTTGGGTCATCCTACTCTTTCCATGAATTGCTTGCTTTCAATATCTGAGAGCTCACCTGGTCTTAGTGGCTCCAACCAGACCTGTCCAGAGCTAGTCACATCTTCACTCATAAACTCATAGCTTGAGTTAGCTCTACTGACACTCTGGTGAAATCTTCATAACTAACAATGTGACTTTTCTTTGAGCCACCAATCTCTACAAGTCTGAGGATCTTCCCTGGGTGATTGTTCACTTCAGAGGTCTCATCCCTACTACTCCTCATTGTCCTGACCTAATTTCTAAGCATCCTTTCTTTCTCAAATAATTGATTATGAATCTTAAGGAGGGAAAATCCAACCCTGGACAGTACATGCAAAGTTAGCTTTCAACTTCACTTAGATAAAGTTTCTAATGAAGCAGAGGCCTAGATTTCTGGCTTTGAAAGGAGGATTATAACTAATGGCTTCCATTGTGACCCCAGAGGCCCCTGAAAATGGCACCTTGGTTTCAAGTCACTTTTGGGTGAGGTATGAGACAGGGATGTAACAGCTATACCATGTGACATCAGTACATGGACATTCTACTGTATCCTGGAGAGCCCTGGCATTCCATGTGATGTCACCAGTGTTGTGGCAACACCAACTGTCATTGGGGCATTTGTGCAGTGTCTCGTGTTTCACCTACAGACATGCTGACTAGACTGAACAGGATTCTTGGGAGACAGGATGGCGAGCACAGGGAGACCAAAGGGAGGCAGAAGGAAGATGCCCTTCAGTCTCCATGTCACACATCAAGAAATAGATGGTTCTGGGGAAAGCGCAGTGAGTCCTGGGAAAGGGATGGGGAGCTTCCTGAAGGAGGAAGGCTTCAGCTGATCCTTCTAGGAGTGGGGCTAAGGGGGTGAGAGTTTCTGAGAAGCCATGGGCCTATCCTAGTCCTCTGAGTTCTTCAAGAGCAGAACAAAGTTGTGGATTTTTCAAGGTTAGTTTGGCAGAGCCAGGGATGGTCAAGGCTGAAGCTGCTCTGTTGAGGGCCCTCTGCTTTCACTCTGAGTGGGAAGGAAGCACAGAGGGACTAAAGCGGTTTCAGTACCAGCCCTGCACTTTACCCACACTGGATTTCTTTTGGTGTGTGTCACTAATACCAAGGAGAGTAAAGTCCTCTGGCCAGAGCTATAGGTTCTCACAGTTTAAATAACAACCACTAGCAGGGAAGGAGCCACCAAGTATTGCTGCATGTCAGTGACCCCTAAGGTTTCTGAGTTCCTTTCCTCTCACTCGCCAGTCGTCTCCCCTCTACCTTGAGTGCAAACTGGGACATCACTCTTCCTGTAAGTATTTGTTCTTGGTGTCAGAGGGCTCACCTGTGGATGCCAAGTCCTTAGGTATTTTCAGTCATACCTTTCAATAATTGATAACTCCTTTGCTAACATCATGATGGTTAGAATGTATTCTGTTGAAGCTTTTGGCAAAAGTTTCATCATTACCTATATGACTTATCATTGTTCTGACAGGACCCATATAATCCTTCACCACCCCCATACATTGTAACAGCCCCGTGGATCTTCTCTAATGTGTTTGTTCATCTTGTGGAACTGATCTTCCTTCCACATTATCCTGAGCTAATTTCTTAGCATCCTTTGTTTCTCATCTTATTAGTTAGCATTCTTCAGGATGAAAAGAGCCATTCCTGGGCAGTGTTTGGAAATTGAGTCTTGCCCTCCATACATGATGAACTATTGAATTAGAATGAACTAGATTCTAATGAATCATTGAGTTCTCTGGATTGAAATGACGAGGTGCTGAAGGCCCTGCTTCTGTCCAGGGAAGGCTGCTGGAAAGAGGACCTTGGCTTTTGGTGAATTGGGGAAGAGTTTGTTATCAGATAAGTGATGACATTAGCAGTGACCCTAACAGTCCCTTCTCTGGAAATTCTATTGTATCCTGGAGAGTCATTGGCATCTTCTGTGAAATCACCAGTGTTGTGGCAATGCCAACTGCCCTTGAGGCATTTATTAAGAGCTCACAGGTTCACCAATTGACATGTTGGCAAAACTGAGCACACTGATTCGCATAGAAAGCACTGGTTTTCTAAGGAGGAGTTGATGCCACAATTGGTCCTTCTCTTAATGGGGTGCAGTAGCTGTGAACATCTGAAGCCATGGCCCTATGCAGCTTACCTGGGTTGCTAAAGAGCAGATCCAAAGTGGAGGATTTCTGAGGGCAGAGGGCCAGGAAATGTCAGGGATGCAGCTGCTGTGCTGGGACCTTTTCCAGTTCATTATGATTGGCAAAATATGCTAAAAGAGGCCCAGAGGTATCAGGGTAGGATGTTGCTGCACTTTATTCTCAGTGGATTTCTGTAGATTTCATGGATATCTGATATAAATACCAGGAAGGGAAACTTTCCATCCATGTACCCAGGTCTGAGACATTCAGTTGCTTTTAGTCCTGCACACAGATTATCAGGGCTGAGAGATGCGAAGCACCAGGCACTCCAGAACTTTCTTGCATCACATTAGGTATCTGGTGAGAATTCCAAACCAACATGACTGGCCTTGCTTATGCCTTTCAGGGACAGTGGGGCTGAAGTAGGGCCTGAGGCATATATCTATCCCTAGAGATTGGAGATAGACACATGGCTTATGGTCCCCAGTTTAAGGCTATCTGCTCGGATTTTTGAGGGCTTCACTGGGTGCCATGCATTTCCTCTTCCTCAGGACTCCTCTTGGGACTCCACATGATCTCTCTTGGCCCTATGCCATTCATCTGGACAAATTTACTTGTGTTTATGTACCTACAGGGACTACTAGGAAGGCATCATCCACACCCTTCTTCCTCACTGAGCAGGAGCAACAGCTGAACCAGGTGGATAAACTAACCCTTCAGCTACAGATGATGACCAATGAGAGGAATGAACTGCTGGAACTCCTGGCCCTTTATAACAACAATGAGTTGAACAACAGGTACCCAACATGCCCTTTTCTCTGGTGACTGTCTTGAACCTACTGTGTCCTGAGTGCATCTGAGAGGCAGAACTGAAGCCTGCATGATTGAGATAGCACATAGTCTGTTCTGAATCCTCCCAATGAAAACCAGAGCTTGTGGCCTGAATCACAATCTACAGAGAGGGGCAGTAGGGTGTAAGATCACAACATGCATTTCAAGAGGCCCTGACAGGCATTGGCTTTTAGGAGATGCTCAGTGCTCTGAATTGATATTTATTTTTGCTTTTTGCTATGGCAGCAGCTTGAATGGCCTGGTGGGCCTACTCAGTCCATCTGTGTGTCACCAGAAGGCCTGGAATTCATCTCCTCTCCTCTCAGCTTCTTCCTTATACTATGAGACAATGCCACTTACCTGCATTTCTCTGACATCCTAACTGTGTGTGGGTTTATGTGTGTGAAGTGCTCTCTAAGGGGCCCAAAGATGGCAGTGGCAGGTTTTGCCCTTTTCACTTCCCTCTCCCTTGATAAACCATTAGATTACATTCCTAAATTTAGTCCCCAAAGTCCATTCCCTTTAGTGGACACTGACTCATTCTTAAAACTAACCACCAAAGTCTAATTATCAATATTCATTACTTGGCTACACTGGCTAACTGATCCAATCAGATCTCAACAACTCACCCTAGCACAGATTAACCTTTTCTACTTAAAAACCCACTGCTGAAAAAAGCCTGCTGCTTGCTGTCTGCCTTTGCCTGATCCAGAGACAGGCTCCCAATGCCATGCTTGCCCTGGGGGGTAATAAATGTCTTTGTGCTGAGGATTGTGTGTCTGAGTGTGTTCGGTAC